GATATTATGTTACACCACAGCGGGTCGTACACGATCAGGTTCAACTTCAATAGGCAGCCAGTAATACTTCCAAGTTCTAACCAACAGTTCTGGTCAGTCAACTGGGCTCGACCCCAGTTAATGATCTCAGACAGCCCAAGATAGCAGCGGCAAGGTCGGTCAAATGTCAATGGCATCGCTATCGCCGTCGACAGCTTGAGTGAATCCGTATTTCCCTCAAATAATACGCCCATCGTGTACGATGCTCTACCTCTGCTCGATAGACTGTTCCTCGTGCTACTGACGTCAGAGAACGATCAGTCGCAAGATGTTGCTCAACCAACGGGAAAGGAGAATAGACATATCTCAGCTCAAACGAAATTTCCCTGTAATAGAAGGCGATACGGGACGCTTACATTCTAGGCAATTCTTTCGTTTTTCTTGGCAAAAATCTTCATAGTACTGTGGTCTCTTGGAGCTGCTGCCGCCGCCGCCGCCGCCGCCGTTCTTACTGCCTTCGTTGCAGCCGCCAAGACTCAATCTCATAGCAGTGGTGATGGCTGGGCGCTGTATGGAACCCTAGAACTCTGTGGCTATGTGACCTGAACATAGCAGCACTTCAACTTCAATAAAGAACAGACATCCACATTAAAACATCGTTACAGCTGCCTTCTCGCAACTAACGCTGAGTGGCCGCTGGTTGGTGCTAGCCGAGATGTTTGGCTTCGTCGGCTCTCTGCCTTTCTCTTCTACTGCGCCGTTTCGCCTTTAATGTGATTAATGTACGGAGCTTTTCGGTTAGCGCAGCCAGATCGGACCGCCGTTACTTCCGCCCACTCGCCAGAGGTCTAGTTCAGGATGTTCAAAGAGATGTTGTGCCTGGCTGCAAGAGTTACGCAGCGAGTCGGCCCCGCTTTATTAAACATCTGTGTCTATTAAGCTGCTAGCTTCGCGTATGCGCGTAAAAACCTCGCTCGGACTCAAGGCGGCCAACGCACAGCTCGCTTTGTCTCGCCCTACCTGAAGACAAAGTCAGCCGATTAGCCCGATTCCGGCGACAGACAAATCCACCCGTCCTAGACTTCGTTGCCCTCAATTTCTCCCGCCGACAGCCGTCGGCTTGCGCGTTTACAATCTTTGAGGGCGTTCGAGAACAATCTATTTTAGGAGTTATTTAGCCAGCGGTAATTAGGATTGGAGCAATGGTTGGTAAGGAACTTCGCAATCAGAATCGACTTCCCTCAGAAAAACTACTGAACTGAACCGCATTCACGCGCGGCTTACTAAGATTGATTTGCTTCTGGGCGGGTAGAAAAATAAATAGGCCGACGGATGTGGTAAATCTCCTCCTTTTAAACAAAAGCTAGCGGTTTGTTAATTGTTTCACTCAATGTAGCTCTGTCAAATTCATATAATACCAAACGTACGGCATATGACAGGGCTTATTTTATTAAAGCACCGCCAATTCACCGAACGCGGAGAAATCAAGCTATATTATCAAAAAATTTATCTACACTAGTCAAAACTATGGATTATCGGTATTAAATATACACCTATGATAATTAGAAGAAACTCTAGGAGAATATACCTACCGAAATATAACCACGCTTCAGAATTGCCTATAGATTTAAACCTCGTACTGACCGTTAGAAGCACTATACCCCGAGCTTCAAGTACACTAAGGAAAAGATCACAATATTTCAACTCTATATAATAAATTTGATGTGTTTTGTAGTGTTACTATTTATAGGCAGTTTCAACTTTAGCCTCTATGGTTTTTGTGCCAGACTTGAACCGCTCTTCTTCTATATCTTATCGATTCAGAAAAAACAGTCATAACGTTTAACAACAAAGAAACCAGCCATTAAAGTGACGTTGCAGACACTTAACGGCCTATTCTTCTCGGACATTCAAATCACTGCCTAATCATCGGCCTGACTTTATACTACAAAAGTGTAAGGTAACAACAACACAATTTCTAGTACTTAACTGTGTCGCTGGCCAGGCTTTTCAACTTTCGTGTCAGAAACAAACGGCTGACCGTTGATTTTTGATTTTTAATCATTTGTTAGAGTTGATCCCGCCATATGTGCAGAAATCTTGTGGAAGAAGTGGTGAGTGATTTGCTCTAGGCACTCTAACATCTTCTGCAGTTCAAAGTTGCACGCGAGTACCGTGCCCCCGCGCCCCCCGACAGCCGTCGAACATTTGCCCTCGAGCGGAGAGACAGCGGTGTGACAGACGCATAACAACACAGGCCCCCATGCTTGTGGAATCTGCTGCATCTCAGCCTGACGACGACTAGATTTTCACTGTTTGCAATAGACGATCTGCTGCCCTACACGGCCCTTATTATGAGTGCCACTATACATTATTCATGGGCGCAACATCAGTTCGTATTGAGTTTTGCGCTCAACCGTTTTGTACATAACAGAATGGGGCAAGGAATACGTACTTTGTGTTCGAAGGGGGACAATAAACCGTTGCCGTCCATGTTTACGCTAGAGCATAAACTACATAGTCGTTTATGCTAAGCGCTGCTGGATTGCGTGTAGTTGAACTTCGCAAATGAAAGATTGAAGATACGAGCAAGAAAAAAGAGGCGGCTTAGAAAGGGAGTTACGGGGTCGTGTGCTCAAGGAAGGACAACTACTTGAATCTAGCATGTCTGAATAGCAGTTTGCCTTATTCTACGTTTTACGGTAGGTGGGCGATAGATTTGTAAAAGTTGGTATTGCCTACATATAGAGGCGCTGTCGGTAACTGCGATTAGTTGCAAACTGTATCTGTGTGCGACGCAAAAAATAGTAAGAGCGACTCAAGAGGCCAGCTTATTGTAGATAAACAGGACAACTGTTTTTTTTTTTTCTAGAGAGTTAGAGAATTCTACAAACAACCTAAGTTCATCGATTGATAAGAGCGTCTAGGAAAATTTAGTACTTCTTCCTAATCAGCTAGTGATAGTATTTACTGAAAGCCAACACCATGGGATATATGACAAAATGTTCATTAATCTGTGTATAATAGAACTCAGCTTGAATAGATCACGACGTCAGGTTCCACATGACTATTGGCCTTGTAAATGCGTTGTATGGCTTAATCTGTTGTCTCTCTGTCGAGAGACGAGAGTTCTCAGCAAGTTTACAATTTCTTTAAGCGTCACAAGTCGCCCTGTCAAAGACAACCAAGATCTTACAAAACACATGCGTTCAGCTTCGTTTTACTAATTCCTTGTACAATTTCTATGTAAAGAGCCTATTTATTCTCTCGCTTTTAGCGTTTTTAACAGGTCCTAATTATGGAGCTTATCGAAAAGGCTTCCAGGTCTGTCAGGAAATTATATGGCACCGGCTGACATATATAGAAGCAGGATTAGACTGCGAATACGATTGTACATCTGCGTTGCCACAGAGTACAGGAACAGGGGCAAATAATACTATAGTATTCCTTTATCGACGTCACGTTTCGGCGTCCGGCACCGATAAGACTGGAATTGTTTAAGCTTGAGGGCTTCTAAGTGTATTTTTATGAGGCCACCAAACCTCAAGGCAGTACATATATTGGTATTACTAACTATTTGAAAAAAAATTTGTCTGAGTATTTAAAGATGTAAAAAAAAAAGATAGTACCAGTCACCAGAGTGGTAGACCGAAAGATTTGTGTAATATGAAGGTTCTAGTTGAGAATGGGTGTTGCAATGATACCAAGATGCTTTATCGACTCGACTATGGGGGTAATGCCTTTATGTTAGGTAGATAGGTGCTCACCTAATTCAAGGGCACGATATCTGAGAACAGAAGAGATTATCGGTAGATGTTCTTCACGGCAAGTCATAAAGTGAGTCATTCCTAAGAGAGAGTTATTATAGAATTACCGTCAAATTCAAGATTACCGGCATATAATTGGCATTTTAGAAAAGATGGAAACACGCTTTTAACGTGAACCAAAAAAAAATGGTTCGAAGCAACAGCTCTATGGAACAACGTATCAGCGAGCGCCACTTTTATTATTAGAAAGTTATCAGTATAATCAGGCTTAGAGTCCCTCAGTGTTTCGAGAAATCCCTATCTATTAGCCCAAGATGGCTTATTCTATCAAACGCGTTAGGAAAGTTAAAGGAGACACAATGAAACATGATGTACTTATTAAGTTCGTTGTTCGATCAGTTGTGTGCCTGTACGACTGGCCTTTGACCAGTTTTTGTTCAGTGAGCCTGTGGATGATGAGCAGTCAAAAATATCGTTGCTTGTCGTAACTCCTCATTATTAGAAATTTTTTATTTTAATTAAAACGAATGTAACGAGTTTTCGAATATAACACAATCTATTATTATACGGAGTAAATTGTACAGAGGTTCGGATATTATTCTATTATAAAGTCTAACATAAAATTATAATCCTACATGGGACGCTGAAACTATAAATAATAGTAAATCATCTATAGAAAAAAAATCATGCACATAAATTCAACGTTAAATATAACAATTTAATGTTGAAAAACTAATATCTAACCAGTCTCACTACCGCACCAGTGGTTCCATTGTAACTACGAGTCATTTAAGTAGGCAGATCTTACTATCATAACTATCTCGGATCACGGACAGCCTATCCGTCGGACTTCGAATACAACTGACTACAGTTCTGAAACAGTTTCAACCTAAGGTCAGCTTCGTCTACAGGACAGACACCTGTTATAGATAGTAATTCCGCTTTTTTTAACTTAGTCGAGCGCTTGCATGCGATAGAGGCTCGAAAGGTTATTTTTCTTCCGAAGTATTCCCCTCTAATTAGGCCCATCCTCTTGAACTTCCCAGTGTCTGCAATGGCATTGACGTCTAAACAAGTTCACTTGCAACATCGTAGGCGGTCCCTTCGGACTCGACAAAAAAGTTACCTACGGGACTCATATTTCGTCAAGGAGTTTAAATTGATCTCTAGGGGATCGAACCGGCGCCTCACCCGTCAGTGGACCCTTTATAAAGGCTCAATACGACCAGCGCGCTGGTCAGACGTTCGGCCGTGATGACCAAGGTACAGTGCGTATATAACTTGCGCCGATGAAATCCGACAGCGGAAATGTGATGTGCCTCTTTGATTCTACGTAAACTACTCCTGCTTGGTGAAGATGATTCCACAAATCTTCACCGTTGTGACGAAATAGGATTACGGATGTTTTAACTAAATGTGCAACGATCGTTTTAAAAGCGACCCTTGTTTTTTCCTCCACGATAAGCTACTGTCATTTTTGGATGGAATATATTTTAACGTAGCATTTTGTGGTTAGAGCGATTCTCGAAATACCATAGGTAATACAGGAGAAGGCGAATATATGTAACTAAACGAGAATATCTTCATTTGCAGATTAGGATCATTTGCGTGTCAACGCTGCTCGCCGTGGCCTTAGGCCACAGGTCAGCATCGTATGACCTAAATACGGAGGTAAGTTGAAACAACTTCATCAACAATTCCAATTAATAGCACCACGAAATCTGGCTTATTCGAGTGGTTGATTACAATACTTTGTTCTAGATTATTTCGATGTACCCTATACCTGCATAGCGTAATCCTGACAATTGTGGCTCAGTTAAAAGTGTACGGCCAACATGAAGGAACATTACATTAACCTTCATCTCTCATGTGTGTCTATGTGTTTCCAATCTTGTGTACGTTGCAATAAAGGAGATTATTATGGGGAAACAAAGTCTAGACGAACAGCTTGCTTCGATTTATGAACGAGATCAGGTCAATATGGAGTTGCCTGTTCGCAAGGGCCTTGTTCGGTTTGCCGTCGACAAGCCCCAGCTAAAAAGATCGACAAATGTACCAAAGGGCAACTTTATCCAGGTACAATGCTAAGAGCCGATAGAATAATCCTTTTATTCTTCTAGTCAGATCAACATGAATATTGCTTGGAGGATAGTGCATATGTTAAAATAATCAAAGATGCTGAGCAAATAGAATTAACTTACTGCACAACAACGAACTTTTGCGAACGATGAACAGAATTTCCCATACTGAACAATTCCTCGAATAATTGAATTTATCTCATGAATGTCCTATATTTGGTAAATAAGCTAAAAAAAGATGCAGGGTCTAGATCCTGGCGAAATCTTATTTCTTTGAAAACGTTGAGGGCAGATTGCGCTTTTTATAAATAGGGTATCCGATGCAACTTACTAACTTAGAGCTGAAGTATGGCTAAACTGGTGTATCCATACACAACACACATCTACAGCAAATGAAAAAATGTAGGCACTAATCAAACGCCAGTTTCATTCGTTTTTCCAAGCTTTATTAAAGGATTTCTATTTTTTTGTATAAAACCTTCGTTCATAGGGAAAATCTGTCAATAGCCACGTAGGTTTCCAGAATGGCAACCTGACGTCGAATATTCTCAACGGCGCCCTTAAACGTGCGGAAAGCTCAAAGACCCGCGAGGTTTGCCCCAGCTTTTCCGATTGGGTAATTCGCACTGAGGCAGAAGATCCGTATGGCAATCGAGTGACAGTACTTGAGCATGTGCCGATTAATGGAACCCTTGTGCGTCAATACTTTTATGAAACGTTCTGTCACGCTACAGATTCAACCGAAGAGAATCCCCGACCACTGGACAAAAACCAGCACCGAGAATGTCTTGGCATTGACAAGGGAGTACGTATTTATTTACTAGAACACATACACATTTATCAATTAAGTACTATTCTTATGATGCTGTCCCCATCTCTGCGGAGTAAGCTTGTATGTAAATGTGGGTACCCATAGTTTGTTATAAAACCGTTGTTAGCTTAAAAAGTAACTGCTACACGCAGCCACCGTACAGCCTTCACCACGAAGTGGGATGTTCTTGTAAATCTTCGCACAGCCTCAAATAATCCTTCGCTTGTGCATGGCCCTAACGCGCCTCATTCCATCAAACAAATACTGAAGCATTCACTATGACAATTTATTCTAGCAATGGAATTCCCGCTGCCGTGAAAATTACATCTGGACCTATGGCAAAGTATTAAAGGATGACGGAAAAATCGGCTGGAGCGTCATAGCCATCCGGGGATCTTGTTCGTGCGGTGTCAGCCGCAAGGGTCATCGTCTAGGCAATTACTTCGACGAATTCATCGAATAGGCAGCACTAGTGAAATCGAACAAATACATGAGTTGTGGAAACGCTATTAGTATTTTACCGTACCAGCCGTTGAATGTTAGAAAGTTACCCTATTCAATTTTTCTAAAAGGCGGAATTAATGCACACAGCTAGGGCCGAATGATACATAGGCACCTGGTGTAGTGGCGGACTCAACCTCGACGGCTGAACTCTGTTCCGCCGAGACTGATACCGACTAAAGCACCCCCTCCACTCTTTGCCAGCCCGGAACCTTATTGAATACTACTACGGACTGGCAAAAGAAATGCTATATGCCTACGAATCAGGTTTAATACACGCTTTCGTCAAAAGGACCTAGAACACGTTGATTTATAGAAGCTAATTTTTTTCCCTAAACCACTAGAGAAAAACCAATGGTACTGCTGAATACGGCGGAAGACGATATCGCGAACAAGTCGGCGACAGGAGTCTGTGTCGCTTGTTACAATCGTCTTATATGTCCCATTGTAGATCTAAGCTGTTAACTTCTTCACTAACTATAAGTATTCAATGACGATTTTAGTCTAAATAACATTAGCGGATTTGATACAATACCGATGCCGTTTTGTTACAAACAAATATCAAGCTATGTCATTGCTTGTTTGCCAAACAGTTATTCCGTTCGTTGGCCGACAGGTCTCACTGAGACCGATATGAACTTCTGTAATGTAGACAAAAATAATTATCTATCATTTTGCTATGCCTGCTAGACTATATAAAGTTGTAAGATATCCACCTCGTAAAGCACGCAACAGCGGACATTTGAATGATTCCGTAAAGTAGTGAAGTGTGATAAACCATGCTTAATCGATTGTTTTATTTTAAGGAATATCGTTCCTATGTAAAGATTATGCTTCATTTGGCTAGCTCAAACAAAGCCATATTTTCTAGACGTTTCAATATGGCAAAAAATGATCATTTACCTAGATAAACATTAGGAGTTGCTGACTCTGGAGGCTATCCACAAAGCTGCATTAAGAAAGGGGAAATATAAACAAGCATAGCGGAATGCCATGGGCCGACTTGTTCTAACACGATCGTGCCTCTGAACCATTATTATTTGTATAGGAATCATTGGGACGGATATTGTTACTGTTTCCAATGTGATAGTTATCATCGTGACAATGGCTATTATGATATATGTAGTCTGCCGAAGAAAGGAGCACTGGCAAAATAGGCGTCCTTATTGGCTATGCCGTATAGTCTGTCCGTTGTCAAACTCAATCTAATGATAAAATAAATGTCGTGCGCAATAATTTCGTACACGTTTTTCTTAACTGCTTATAGCACTTGACAACTGTATCGTCCCTCGTATTGAGTACGTGAAGGGTTTTCGTGTCTAACCGAAATCTCCTTTCACGGGAGTTTTTCATATATTCCTGCCAAATGCACTGAAATGAAAACTATTGCATAGGGGATTTTTCGTTGAAAATGTTCTAGTAAACAAAAAACTGCAGCTAAATTAACGCGTAGTCAGATAAAACTGAGCGCGCTACACGATACTAAGATACCGATTGCAATGTAAATAGTGTTTGTGTCAGAATATAAAGCTAAATTATGTAATAGTTGGTGTAGAGTTTGCTTTATCTAACCGGAAAAAAGCACGACTCGGTCTCTACAATATACTTTTGAGCTAGAAGCATTCCTAAAGCTTAGAATTCCTGCTTTATTCATACAAACATTTTCGATGTCGCTACGCCATATATAGAGTACAAGTCTGATTAGTTTTTTTTTTTTAAATATCAGATACTATTTACTGATCTACTGTACCGTGTAGGTTGTGAACTTCGTAGCGATCACGTCTCACCTATGCTATCCTCGAAACTTTATCTTTGCCAGTTTTTACACCAAAACCACCGTACTGGGCTTATAGCCCACCCCACTAACTGGATCTACTAGATACATGTGTGTACATTTGTCACTAGTCATCGTATTTAATCGAACATGTTTTGTTTTTTTTTGCATATCTGGCTTTCATAATCGCTACAAACTCCAATGGTAAGCTTTGATGAGCGCTTTTAATTAAGCATTCAATATGTATACGCTTGTCAATTATTTTTACTGCGCTGTACTCTTTCTTGTGGGTTGTTCACCTGGCCTATGTTGTCTTTACGGTCGCCTACCCGCGTGAAATCATGGCGACTTCCTCGTAATGCATTCATCCATCCATTTATGCTAAACGCTGAGGGAAACTCGATAATGAGATGGCTTACGCGAAGGAACATTTTTACACACTACTACCAGACCGCCAAGGGTGAATAACCTCAGCTGATTCAGCTGAGATAATGGTGCCACTTTAGCAGACCACTCCACACTCGCGCGCTGCTACTGTTCCTGCTGCGCTGCACCCTGCGAGGAGGAAAACAGCGACCGCAAAGCAGACGTCACAGCAATCGGCAATAACACAGATCCATCTATCGCTTGCCATGTAGCGAGCCGATGAACTGGCTGGCCCAACCAAGACAAGTCGAGCGACCCGTAGACAGACGGTGCGTAACGAAGAAGAATACGAGCAACAGTGCTGTTGTTGGCAGGTCAATGTAGGACGGTAGGTTGCAGATTGGGCCAGGTCTGCTGCTTGCATGTGTCTCGCCAACACTAAACCAGCTGCCTTTATTACGTCGAGAACTGGGCGCCAGAACCCGGCGCCTCGGGATCGTTAAGCTGTAAAAAATCAAGGATGAGTGCAAAAGAACCCTCCGTACCAAAGCCACAAGTAGCAAACGAAGAGCTTTACCGATTCATAAGAAAATATAGTGTTCCACCGAACAGTCGTATGATTTTCTCTAAAATGTTCGATAACTACTATCGTCGTTAATCAATAGACAGTATCAGTGGCAGAAGGTCTGTTGGGCAACGTTAGTTAGCGACGCAACTCGACGACGGTATCTCAGAAAACGATTATACAGTAACAGACATCAGTGTGAAATGAATTCGACGAGGAGTGCTTCGTCTAACGATGCGTAACATGTGAGAAGGTGGTAAAGTATTATTGTTAGACTTGTCTGCATCGATTTCCTGAACTAAAGCGTTTGTCGCTTATTTTCTATTTACAGATTACTAAATCAGAAGACGACCTTCGTCACTGATCTTCGCACCTATAGGAATAGAGATGCCGGAGTGAAAGTCACTTCCGAGATATTCAGTCGGTCAGTTGAAATGGCTTGCGTGGGAGTGCGACTAGGAAAATGAAAGAATAGCTAAGAAACATATGCCGCGAAGACACACTCTGTAAATAGAGGAATATAGCTGATGCTCCAACTGTCAACTAGTTGCAAATAAGTTGGATACAACAAAGCTGCATGGGGCACTTGTAGTAGGGCGAAGCCGGACGAACAAGAAAGACTCGGTCAGACAAAGTGCTATGATGAATAACCTGGTAGTAGAACTAGGAGAACTTTTGTCTGATCGTTTCGTATAATGTTGTACAGTTTTAGGTAGATCACATTTAGAGATTAGTCTATTATAACTATAGCTACTAGACGATAAAGAGGAAGCGGAGCTGTGAATTATGTTAGCATATTCGTATCCAGCATTCGCGGTGTAGACCCATAGAAGTTTGTGGTGCAGCATATGTGCGGTCTATGCTATAATTTTTTAATTAAAGCGCAATCTCTCCTCTATTCATCGACTGTGTAGAACTGCAAAAAAAGTAAGTGCGATCCTTATTCGTTGCTTAAAGAGAATCGTAGACAAGAGCAGTACCTAGCCGCCTAGCAACTATGAGAGATGTAAACCTTCTTCTTTTTTTAATCAGCGATGCTCTTCTTACCAACGCAATTACAACTCTGGAGAACATTAATAGATTAGTATTTGTTAAGCGGAAGTGTAGTAACAGTTTTTTTACAAACGGAGCTGACCAATAGTAAACTGACTATTTCAGCCACGTTTTACTGTTTAATCTATGTAGTTGCTTGTAGTAGCTTCATTGATAGATTGGCGCTAGACGGTCTGAAGTCAAATATCGGGAAGTCGTGATCGGAGACAAGCGTGTAACTCGTCTGAGCGAAACGCATTGCTAACTTCATGCACTGGCTATGTTTAATTCAACTTATACAAAGCCGCTTGCTCAGAAATCGACTATTTGAAGTAGTCACGAGCAACCGGGTAAATACGGCAACAACTAAATCAAATAAGTTAGTGGCCGGTTTTATAACTAAAATGAACCAGTAATAATAGCAGATACAAACCAACGCTACACGAAAAGGTAGCATTAGTTTTAAGTTAAGCCATTTAATGACTAGTTTATCTCCTCATAATCGTGAAAGTCATTATTTATGATGTCATGATATTGATGTTGATGATTATATTGTGAAAGTCTGCGATCGCTCCCCCATTCGATAGTATATTGTCTTATTGCCGCCGGTTGCCCTCCTCAGTATGACCCTGTGCCGCCCCTGTACTCTCATGCCCAGGTGAGTTTCTCGAAGCCCATACCAGAGGGCGTCCGTGTCGCTCCGCCTTTCCTAGGATCCATCGATTGTAAATAGTTTCCGCTTTTGGCAGCCGTCGTCTGCCCCTACTGTCTTCTATGCGCTGCTTGTTTTGTAAAGAAGGGGGACAGCAGCAAGAATAGTAGCGGTGATTTGACTCTTTCTGTGTGTGTGTGTGTGGGTGTGTGTGTGTGTGTGCTGAGCGTGAATCCCTCTGACGACAGCAGTAGCACCAAGGCTGCCGCCGATATTTGCCAAAGTGCTCAGTGTCCGTGTCTATGTATATTCGTAGTCCGGGTCCGTTATTGTTGCCGTTGTACATGAGATACTCTTCCGCTTATACTGGGTGGTGACTGAGCGTTACGGCCGGGAAATGCTTGTCAGCTCGCTTGGATAACACGTTGCGGTGGTTCGGGCACGCTTTGGTGTCGACGGCAAGGACGACATGCTAAACTCTTCACTGAGGGCCCGTACGGCCCCCACATCCGCTGCTCTAAACCAGGTAAAAAAAACCACTTATCATTACACCGAGAACCACCTCACATACCCCCCAAGGTTCTTATACAGCTCTATTATCGTTTTCTGTGTACGATCCTACTAACCTAATACAATTATCACTATTAGCATTACCTAGTATGGCAGTAGGACACGGCATTGTATTTTAACAACGATCTCAAAATCAAGCGGAAACTAAATCGTTGTTTGGGCGAAAGTGTCAACTGACCGCTCTGCCGCCGCCGCTGCCACCGCCGTCGTCGTCGTCGTTATCGTCGACAGAAACGGCTTACGGCGAATCCGCGAGGCGGGTAAAGTGTTGTGTTTGTAGCAGCTGACCCCACATTGTCTGACCCCTCCACGCATTCTTCATCGCAGATTAGTTCGGTCCTGTGACGAATGTCGTAAATGATACCAGCAGTCGCAATTCGCAGGATTCGTTCAATAAGATATTTGTGCGCCAAATGTCGCACAATAGGCAGGTTTCTTATATGATGATTCAGAAACACAGAGCAAGTATAGAGTCCATCCCCAGTCGAGTTAAGCTTTTTCACGGAGTTTGAGAAGTAAACTGTAATGCGTGATGGGATAATGTGAGCAAAAGTGAGGTTATGTAAAAGCGGCGAATGTTATTTAGGCAAACGTGACTTCTAATTGTGAATATTAGTTGGTGTCAGATAGTGCGCAACAATGTAACGCATATCTTCTGACATTTGTGACAACAAAAGCACAAGCAGCGACACGCCCGTAGTAGTGACATACATGAAATGTGTCGATAGAAACCGATAGAGTTTAAAGCGAAACAGAGAAATATACAGCGGCAAGCAAGCATGATTAAGACAACTATTTTCGACGCGACTGGACTTAGCGTCTCGCTAGAGCTTCGCAAAGAGCTCACCGTAGAACAGGTAAAAACGCAGGCCTTGTGCGAACTGGCGCCACCTAGTGCTGGCATCAAATACTCTCAACACTATAAACTCGTCTCGTCGAAGTCCGGCCGATCGCTCAATGACAGCAAACGCTTGGAGGATGAGGTTGTGTATTCAAATGATGAGCTGTTACTCTTGAGACGTAATTCACCGGTGGAGGCGGGCTGCTCTAGCTCATCGTCGCCCATCGAACGAAGCCTTGTTCGACAAATTACACCCGGTGACGAAGAGCGATATAGGGCTCCCACTTTGGTTGAAATTCAGCAGGCCACCGAGTGTGTTCCACCTATGGATATCGATAGGCCGAATGCCGAGCTCCCGCCAAAAGGTGAACATCGAAGCGAGATTAGAAAGATTATGGTAACTCTAGTTGAGTACTCCGAAGTAATGCTCAGGGATCACCCCGACGTCAAATCTATTTTCGAGCATCTTGACGAGAAGCTTAACGCGCCGTACACTGGTAGTGAGCCAACAGTTGATCCCACACTAATTAAGAAGATGACAGACATGGGTTTTGATCAACACCTCGCCAAACGTGCCTTGATTGCCAAGAAGTCTTGTCCCGCCGCGGCTCTAGAGTTGCTTCTGTCAGGACAACATGACCTTCTGTTTGCGGAGCCAAGCATGAGCAAACCAGCAAAGATTCCTAAGGCGTACGCTATGCTTCAGTGCTTCCAGGAGTACCGTCGCAAAATGTACAAAACGAATCAAAAGGCTGTCGAAAACCTTAAAGACATGGGCTTTTCCGAGTCTGATGTCCTTGATGCACTACGTATTCATTCGAACAGTCAGGAAGCAGCATGCAATTGGCTCCTGTCAGACAGACGGGCCACCCCCGAGTACCTTGAAGTTGGTTTGGACCCTGACGGTGTAATCTATAAAGCGATCATCGCGAATCCTGTTATACAACTAGGTCTTTGTACGCCCAAAGTGCTCATGGCCCTGTTGCAAATTCTTGAGAATCCGCACTGCGTTAACCGTTGGATTAACGACGCCGATACAACGGCCTTACTCAGCCACTTGTTCCGTATCTACCACTCGGAGAAGTCGTCGCTGCACGTCCAGTGACCGCAATCCACGCGACAATGGGCACACGGACTGCTCTAATACGCTGTTGCCATTTCTTACACCCATAACCACAACTCTAACTACGGCACAGCGCCTCATGGACAAGCCTACAGTTCCACGAATAAGCAAATACATTTACTGTATATTTCCATCTTCTCTCTTAACCCGTAAGCGGTTTCAACTGGAGTGTGTCGCACCCGTACCTGGATTGACGCTAAGATAAAAGGCTGCTATGTGCAGCCCAATATGTACTGTAGTATGTACTGCAACTCTGCTATCGTACGAAATGATGCATTTAGGGACACCGCGAGTAAGAGAGGAGGCCAAGAAAGATGTCTGACAGGCCTTAAACGAAAGCACGGTCAATCAAAAGGATGAACAGAAGAATATATAAATGGTCACACCATAAATGCGAAGTAGGACAGTTTTAATCAAGGCTTCGTTGTCGCATTTCATATACGAAGCGAAAGAAGGAGTCTATGAGCATGGGGCAGGCGAGGAAAGGTAAATGTAAAAGAAATAGTACATTATGATCAAAAGAAGCAATGATTGGTGGCTAAATCGACAAATGCGACTACTACTTAAGCTGGGCTTAGTCGGCTGGCAAAATCCTATTAGCTGCGATATGTTTTTTTATTGAGTCCATAATACAGACACGACCCACAGTTTCAAGGGCTGGTTTTAGCCCCTACCATATCCCCGTACTCCCCGGTTTGTTTGCAAACCGTTCCGCGAACTTTGCCAGTGGACATATGGCATTTCAGCTCTGCTCAGGGAAACTGATAAATTAATAGGTAATAGATACGGTGACAGCGAATGGATGATCTTTCGTTATTTCCAAAGACCACAATTACATACCCAATGTAAAGTTTAGTTTTCCTTTGCTTTGTTCACCTCGTATAATACGATGATGTACGTATTATATCCATAGGGATATACACATGTGACCATTCATAATTCTTAGGATTAATTATTATATATAGGCGCCGAAAAACAATGTAGGTACTGAACCGTGATTGTGTGCGGTGTACAAAGCGCTACCTTCTTTTAGAAAGTCCGTCAAAAAAATGTTAAGCTTGAAGCGAATGGAGTGAGACATAGTGAACCCAACAGCTACAACGACGTGACAGTCATATATTATATATAAAAACATTTCAATACACTATAAACTGATGCACTAAGTGATCATATGATAAATATACGAATGTAATGACTGACTGCTGATTACGGAATGGATCATACTTACATCTATGCTCTCTGTATAGAAGCTACCCTTGATAGACGGCAATTCAGTATGTATCTCTTATATACACGACATACTAATACAAAAATCCACTGAAAAAAAAACTGAAAATAAAGCAATGACTGTGGTTTACTTGCTATGTCACAATCGATTGCATACGTATTTTCATGTACACACTTAAATATCGTTATCGTTAAGTTTTGACCCTTTCAAGCTTAGCTATTAACCAGTTAACAGTAGAAACGGAGTACGACTTGTACGACATACAGGGGTTTCGCGATATCCTGGCTCTGTTTCATATAACTAAAGGTATCTAGGTCCTAGAAATTAAATAAGCCAACATGCTTTTTAAGAATTTACTTTAGTTAGTCTAATTAAATTATATCTACTTGTGTAATTTAGCAGTATGTTTTGGTAGGTTAACCCGACTTCTTGCTTTATTATCAGGATGTTCGTGTTACGCACCTCACTTCCTAGAACCTCGCCGAATTTTTGATAGAATTAGTTTATTTAATCTTAGCTATTTTTACTTGCACATTAAGTAAAGCACACATTTCTTTATGAGGAGAAACTTTTGTCGTCCGTCTACGGTAACAAACAATGCGCTTTTATGCAAGCAGGAGAGAAAATCGAATTGGCAGTGAATTAAACAGTTCAACAGGTTGGGCTTATATTTGTAAATTTCAATCGAAATTTTCGAATAATATCTTTGCGATTTCTGCGATGTACTGACAGACAAGGCTGGATCTAAGCGAGCACCAATTCGCTAGGTAGCTAAAGCACACATCGCTTAGCGAGCTTAAAATGCCTAAGATAACTGTAAAGCTATTATTTGTGGCCCAAGCTATTATTTCCCAAGAGCATACCTGGACTAAGCAAAAGCCTAAAATACAAAATTTTTCATTGTAGGTATTGTAATACCTTTCTTCACGCATACAGTTTGTATAGGTAGGCATTTTTGATATGGCCTAACGGTTGTCTGGTCAGGTTTAAAGCTTTCGTTGTGTACGTCTTCAACGAGCCTTTCCATCCTAATCGTCTACAGATGTGTATTATAGAAGAACGACAAAAATCAGTTACGTAACCTTCAGTAGACATTTCACAGTGAAGACGCCGGTACCAGGTACACACGAAGAGTCAATAATTATGACTATGAAGTTTCTCATACTGCCAACTTATGACTCACGCTGGTTTACACCTGGCACAGAATTGAACCTGACAAAGCAACCTGTACGTTCCGAACCTTTGTTGCTTGATTGCAATTACACACGTAGTAAACCTGTCTCTCTCGTTTCGTCTGTTCTTCGTGGTTCTCCTCTATATCCCGTATAACAAAAACAACAAGGCAAAAAAGATAGCAAAAATAAATAACTGAACGTTTTAGCTCTCGTTCTTTGTATCCTTTCATAGGTATGTGCATGCTGCAGGCTGCGGAACTGATCTTTGACCACCAACATGCTTTCATCCTTTTGGTACTGCCGATGATATTTGTCCTCGATTTACTAAATAGGCGATATATGTACGATCTACTGCAGCTGGTTACTACCACCCTCCCTCAATCAATTGGACATACTGCGTTGGCTGCTCTGTATGCTGTAGAGAGCTCTTCAGATAGTTTAATTGTTTGCGTACATAATATGTGCAGCTACCTGGCGGCTTTGCGATTGCCAAGGCGAAATTCATTCGCTGACAGGCGGACGGCCTTGCGAGATAGAAAAAAGAGAAGTTTGCTTTTGCTTGTAGGCAAACCCAAGGTCGTCACATTGTTAGCATCTCCAATGATTCACGTACTTCGCCCGTATGCATTTGATGAAGCAGCACTCGGTGTTGCCACTTTGGCAACAACAATCAGTTGTTGTTGTCACCCGCGGTGTGGTGCAGTTAATCTCTCTGATCCGGAAACTACGAGTCTTGCCTTTGTCATAGTTCTGCCAAAAGCAGGACGGATAAACACATAGGCGCCCAACCAGCGCATAGTCGTATGCCTACGCACGATCTCTCGCTAGTCTTCAGTAGTTCCCGACGATGCATGAACTTGCAAATACCTGTGTATACACTTGTAGTACCAAAAATGACCTATGCAAAGGTCGTAAGTCATATATAGGAGTGGTTACCAAGATAACCTGTTACGTTATGAGAACAAGAGTAAGGACGCCACCGATGGTGGAACGGATATGTGTAAAGTGTTTTTGTTCTGAAGAGATCGTGAACAGTGTGGTTGAGTTGAACATAAATCTTACGTAGTTCTAATGGTTATTATAATTGCTACTTAATTTGCGTCTAATTAATGCTACTGCATAGGACAAAAAACAAAATCAGCTCCTAAGAGCTTATCTTCTGTACTTCCTGGCGGCCAAAGGAAAGATCGAACAATTTTGATTAATGATCGATTGATCAAAAATATATTCTGACCGCCACCTTGGTACAATAGAAAACTGAAGTCACCGCAAAATGGGTGCATATTGTTTTAGAAGGACCAGCTGCATTCCACGTTTGCAGTCAAAAATCGAAAAGATTGAACGGTAATTCAAGTAAACAGCTTTCTCCTTCGACGAACCAGGATACTCTAGAATCGACGGTAATTAAGTAACGAGTCTACTATCATAAGCTGTTTTGTGTCATCTTTTGTCGCTAAAGCAGTTATTTCTACGTGTCAGACAAGTAGAAGATATACAATCCTATACATAAATTCGATATACTCTATCGGTCTGTTTATTCACTGGTCCATCTATTACTTATCATTCTATTGGGAACTTCAGGCAAAGTCAATTAATAGTAGTCGAATTTCAATGGTTTAGATATTTTTCATTGTCGGAAAATTTCATATATAGCTAGTCACACGCTTTTAATAGCGAATTTGAAGAAACGGTAGATTGGGTAGTGCCCAAATAACTATTTACGTAATTGGATTATGTATTTATATGTTTCTTAGTTCTGGTCTTCATTACGACTTGACAGGAAATGACGTCTCGGCTTACTCCAGATACTTTCAACTACTGTTGGAACAAATGCGCACCAGTCACCAGCATATCGCAAGGTAGCTGTGTATGTGTGTGCGTGAGTCTGAATGTATGCTCGTCTATGTACTCAGATATGCGATCATGGTCTTCGTAAAAAGCAGAGAAGACGATTTTCCAATTCACCTTGGCAACTCCCAATAAAATTGTATCGGCTTTTTTTTGCCTTCGATCTTTCTATTCGTTGCCTTTTATTACGCAACAAGAAACGTTTCAATGTTCTGTTTATCTTTTTTTTCTAATAAAGTCTACTCGTTTAAGACTTATTTGTGTCGATTTTCAGGGTTCCCTTGCGAAAATAGTGAGGAGCGCGTGCAGGGTTTGAAAACAGCGAAAGAGGTCGCAGAGCGATGGAAAATGTGATCACTCAAACAAACGATCAGCAAGTAGTTGTAACATTTTGTCGAATAAAACAGCTCGCATACGTGTAGCCATATGTGGCCGATATGTATGCGTTAAATAGAATACTGAATGGAAGATGGAACGTGGAATTCGGTGGCTTTCAAACTTCCAGGAACATTTAACAACTTCAATTGATTACCATAGAAAGGCATAACGCACCGATAACATCATGTGATACATGGACGCACGGTATATGCGTATATATACAGAATGAAAATTCACCGCTGAAGAAATGGAATAAGAAATTTCATCCCAGACCTCTTTGATAGAAAGCTAAAGCTATAGAATTTTACAGTATATTCAACTAACTAATTACTTGACTAGGCATATCCTAAGCCAAGTAGACTGTGCTTTCCTTAACCAAAATCCACACTGTATTCGTAGAAACTGAACAAACAAGGTCCCGGAAACCCAAGAAAAAATTTTTAAGCGCAAAAGCGCAATGTTAGGATGCGCAAATGGATCCTGATCATCTTCAAGACATTTTCGGCAAAACTGCCATATCTTTTTGCGATAACTATTGTGGACATGGGACATCCTTGGTTTGAATTATAAACTAATCTACTTATAATTCGGTTGTTGTACATCCGTAGTTAAGAGAATATGCTAATAATGGTGTCCCAAGATATCCACAACTTGGCTTCATATTAAACACGCACAGGATCGTGACAGCTGATTTTAGTGTTTCAAAAATGTCATTGAAGTCAAATATATAATAAGATGGCTGTTTCTTAGAAAACAGACATTAAATTAATACTTGTGCCATCCTAGAAAATTCGACGAAGTGAACAACGTGTGTCAGTTACTGATAATTATTTTTTAACCGAAAAACGCTCTCAGATCACAGCAAAAGCAATAATGCATTCGATCCTCTGAGGTTCAAAGCTCTGTTATCGTTGATCATCATGTAAAATTGATTAACTGAGAACCTGACCAATTCTGCCTAAAACGCTTTCTGAGCCGAAACAGATCAAGCGGGGTATGTTCGCTTTTCTCATAGAGAAAGTTTATAGAAGCCGGAGAAATCGCTTGCACTTCGGGCGCGCTAGCTCGATTCAGAGACCCGGGTTTCTTCGCCCATTTTAAGAATTCCACAGGCGGTGTTTGGTGTTTTTGAAATATAAACGTTTTTTAAACAACGTGTATCCGAGACGGGCAGTAGTCTTTAGGGAATGACTGATGAATGTTCTTTAGCCCAGTACGTCATAAGATTATTATGTACATAGTGAGTGTGGCTAAGTAAGCATGTTTTTTGTTTAATCGATTTTGTAATATTTTTGCGACACCTTATATCCGATATCGCTATGTTGGACTACGGATTAATCTAAACGTTGTATTTATATAGCAACTACTGAATGCGGATTTTTTAGAGGTTGGTATTAATGCTAGGGAATATACGTAAACAGCCCGAAAAATTTATAACCCAATAGAGTGGCAGGTTTTCTAAATGCTGTTTTATTTCTCAAGATACTTTGTTTACTTTGGCTCTACGCATTTTTCACAGCAATGCTCCTATCCTCTTTAATCAGTTCAGATAGGAGCTGGCATTTTGGCCTACAAAATATATGTTCACGAGCATGAGTACTCCCTGATTCTTTGAGCCTTAAAGCTTTGAGCCTGTAAAACAGAAAGAAGTGGTTGGAGCTAAATCTCGTGGATATGATCGGTGTTCAATCAATTAAAAGCTGAATTTGTGGATTTTTCCCATGACAACTATAAAAGAGAAGGCGGCGCATTTTCTTGGTGGAACAATATAGCGGTTATTTTTCACAGTTCGTGCAATGCCGAATAAGGACACGTAGTATGTTCCATGATTATTCTAAGACAGTTGATTAATAGAACTTCATGACTACTTCAAGAGAATCGTCGTGCCAACTGATGGAACAGCCTTGACGTGTTCCGGAGCCCATTGACACTTCGTAGTGTACAGTGTCAATGTACCTTGGCTTCAGAAACGTAATGGTATATGTACGTTTTATCTACAGTAGCGATTAGCCGACGCCAAAACTCCAATTAATTTCACTTGAACTGCTTCAATAGGGCTTCAGAAATGTGAATTTGGTTTTGAGCGAAAAAATGTGTTCAGACTCTACTATTTCTACAACCTTAATTCATTTGGCGTCCCTTGGTAAATTTCCAATGTTACCGATAGTGATTGTAGTCCTTGACTCTCTCAGACGTTCATCGTCAATTTAGGTATTATAACTAAGTCAGTTTAAAACTTCACGTGGCAGACATCGCTGCAAGGTCAGAGTGAAGAGCGTTCATCTCGGTTTGAATTTGCGAGAATGTATGACTGCTCGAACATAACAATTTAATATTCGATTACCCCGTATTTACAGAAACACTGCCATTGATTAACACAAACAACTGTCAAATAACAATGAAATTTTCAGTGTTCAACGCATATATGATTGCTTAATCAGTCTCTGACAAGTAAAGCCATTTTCATGTTGAAGCTAGACCACCTGATTTGCCTATATTAGCAATATATATATATATATATATATATATATAGTCGCTTTTATTTACATGTTGTTACATATTATATATGTCATAGGTAGATATTATTTAGCGAACATCCTGTTAAAGGCCATTTTTTATGTCGTCCACTATTTTTTCCCTCATGGTCTATCATAATTAGAGGAGGAAGTGAGCTTATGTCAATGTGTCGTCACATTGACATAAAAACTAATATTTGAAAAATTTAATTTTGTAACTGCAAGTTGAGAAAACCACAAATGAGTTATTTCAGCATACTTGGCCATCCCGTAACAATTTAGGAGTACCTTGGAACGTCCGCGTGTAGCTTTTCACGAGTCGTTTATTTGTTATTTTCTTAATTTTGTACAAACTTTTGAATTGACTACATGCTTTGATCGAGAAGAAAAAAACGACGTTCCCAATCCTTTTTAAATGACTTTTTTTACATGAAAGAAAATGAGAAAATGAATTTTTCTCGTAAAAGATTGATAAACTTCGAGGAGGTTTTTAAAGATGATTGTTCTCCATTTGATAAATGATCTGGTAATCTATTGAAGGGCTACCCTCTAAAGCAAAGAAAGCGTAATGAAACAGCAAAACTGTTACTCTTTCCTTGTTGCTGGTACAAGATGGTTTGTCAAAATCTCGATCATGCTTTCAGTACATAGCTGACACTCGACTGATTTTTTTTTTTGCTGTCGTTCTAGTTATCGGCTCCTGCACCGAACGTGGTGATTGAAGAAAATGAAGAAGTGCGGCCCCAACGTAGAAAACTTGCTCAGTGCTTAAGGGAAGACGCTCACTTTAGATGCCTTCTACTTACGCTTATACAGGTAGGTAACCCAAAACCGTGTCGCATTTTGGAGATTTACTCTACCTTTATGTACTTATTAAGTGCATTTTCTTTTACAGATGATACGGGAAATCATTGTAAATCTAGAAACGGGTTTTAATTACAACTTAACAAAAATACTTCCGCGTGATATATAAGGCTTTGTTAAAATTTTACCTCACAAAATATTCTGTCGTGCACAACAGCAGTTACCGAGTGTGTGTGTTGCATAAGCAGTTTGCCAAATGAACAATAGATGAGACTTCTTTTTAAGAGTATGTGTGTAAATGTACTAGTATACACAGGCTTCTTGTCCTTAAGAATAATCCTTTGAAAATGAAAACACCGACGGCATTTTTTATATATAAATGTGGCTGTGCAGTTTCATTATACTCCCGCCCGACCTCAGCATAAGTCAGTCATTGAGTTTACTTGCCAGTCAAGTGGTAAAGGTGATGATAAGTCATGTCAATTCATTATTTTTGGCTTAATGAGGAATGGGCTTCCTGTCTTCTATTTGTAGAAAGACCTCGTTTTCAACAAGCCTTGTATTTATACAGACGGCCCTAATGCTCCCAGCAACAATGTCATACTTGGTTATTAATAGACAACTGCTAATGGAGGGACTACTTCTGAAGAGGACATACGCGATCTGTATATCTATGTTGTCCGCCCCTGTCATTTTTCGACCACGCTCAACTAATCCCATCCGAAACGCTTTCAATCAAGATGTTCTGATCTGGTCCGAGATTTGCCAAACAAGCTGGAATATGCATATATTGTCAAGGGCAGTTGTTATCGATAAGGTAATACGTTTGGCTTCTTCCTTCTTTGTTCTTCCATCCTGGTGGGCATCTTTAATTTTATCAGCTTATGCACATTACTGTGACTCCCCGCGGAATATAAGCTAGCGTTAAGACAAAGGTAAGGAGATGATATCGCCAGGTAATTTCTATCATTAAAATATAATTTTTTTTCTCTGCGTTTAGCAGTTCTTTTCCTAATACAGGATGTTATTACTACGCATACAAAGAAAGTGTAGCATGTAAATTTTAACACATAAATTCGCTTATTTCAACGTCCCAACATAATTACTACAACAACTAACTTGAAAGTCTAACGAGACAGCAGCTACATGTATTCCTTTTGTATATGCTCGCAGAGATTGACTGTACGTTCTATAGCCGGTTGCTGTTAGCGAATAGGCTTTAAGACCTTCATGTACTTAGAGACTCGTCCAGCGGCCAAAGCTGGCCGCTGCAGACATTTTCCCTGATGTTTGTTGAATTTTCGTTGACAGCAAAGAAAGAAGACCCCTCTCGTTGAGAAGGGCGATGTCGGAGCCGTTATAGAACAGATGCTCGCTTGCTTCGTGCAGATGCGTGAAGGATATTGGAGGAACTGAGTTGTTTACGCCCAAAGAGCCACACTACACTATATGCGTAGCCGAACAACAAATAGTCGTGAGCGGGGTATAAGGGTCACGGAAGGGGTGGTACAATGGCTAAGCGAGAGATGGCAAGACAGCAAACAGCAAAACTATCTGAGTTGTTTGGGTCCATTGGGCCATTGGCCATTGGTCGCGACACTTTGGCAGGGAGCCAGAGACAATTTAAGTCGATCTAGCAGAAAAAGTAGGGAAGCCATCGTGATCGCTGTATTCACTTAAGATAGAAAACAAAATACAGAAGGAGAAATGGGACTATGGGACTTAAGACTTTGGTTTATTTGATCTGGTTAACGTCCCTTAATAACGGCGTTTAATGGTCTAAATTTTAACTTTTTGCGACTTCGGGAAAAAGGGGTTTATTGTCATACGCACTGCACATATATTAATGTATAGGATCGTTTAGTGTGCACACCCTCCAATAACTATACAGCCATTAGCAACACATCCAGTGGTAAAGAAATAAAGGGTACGACCATGCAAACAGCGCATGCATACCGAAACTGTAAACTAGCCTGTAGTAACAATCGTTGATTTTTATTCCATGGCTTAGTTCAGTTTTTCGTACTGAATGCTTTATGGATTACATGTTTATACGTTAGCATTTCGAACGATCACAGTTGCCCTCAGCCAGCTGGAGCTGCAAGCAGCCAACGCTGAGATCCGGGAGTATCGCATCAGTCAACAATAGCAGTGTTCACGAAGGCTCCGTTCTGCTGGTATCGATTATTTTCCAGTTGGCGTGCCTGACAGCAATTGCATGGTGCCGTTTGTGGGTTGTCAAACGCTATGTCATTGACTACAAGCAGATTCCAATTAGGCGCCAGGTTCTGGCATCACCATGTGGTGAAGCTCAGGTCTATCTGCCTCTCGCCGTATTCGCACTAGCTTATATCGCCTACCTCATCGAGTGTTACCATTGCGCCACTAGACTACAACTGCTTTACAAGGTACCCAACTCACTAAAGCTACAAAGCATGAAGCACACTGAAAGCGTGAAGCACGTGAAGCTGTTTCAAACAAATTACTAACTTCCCCTGTGCTTGCGACAGGGGATATATAGAGAAGTACATTTTGCTTAAAGAAAGAAAGAAAGAAATAAACATGAAAAACACAATTTCCAATGCATACATACTTACTCACTGTATTTAAATTACGGAATGTTTATGTCCTGACCAGAGTTACGTAGCCATTGTTTGCATGCATACTGCTTACATTACACGTCGAAGAATCACAAGTGATAATAAAACAGTTAATAGAACAAAGAAGATAGACTTATGAAAGTTCGAATATTGGGTCCCAGCACAGATTCGTCGCAGGCTTTCCATCCATATATGCGTTAATTACGATATTATGAAAGAGCCTGTTTTTTTTTTAAGATCTAATTACGTTCGTCATAAATCACCCTTTAAGTATAGCATTCTTCGGAATACGGCTGATGTGCTGTGGTCTCCATCACCTGGTACTTAATCAGGCATATTAAAGCTGCTAACATCCTCCGAAATAAACAGGTGAGCTCGAGTGCTGTTTACGCCTACATGAACCAGATGCGGGAGGCGCAGCCTATTATCTGGTGGAAGGCAACGTGTTACCATTACGTCCGCCGGAACCGACAGGTGATACGTTATCGAAATGGTAAGTCAACTTTATAAGAATGCCTGGTAAATCGTTATGTATCCACGTATGGCGAGCAAGTAGCTTGAGAGATATCAATAGCTTAGTACAGCATTTTTCTGTTGGGGTGTTTTAGATACGCTAGTTTCGATACATCTCAGAAAAATAATTCTCATTTTATCTCCAGTGAATGCTCTGCCATCTTTGACTCACTTTATAGTTTCACTTTGTACCAAAGTGCTATTCTACATGTTATGAGAAAATTATGTTTCAAATGCCGCATACTAGTTAAGAAATGCTTGTCGCACATATAGTTGGATAGGATTACAACTTCGTTATGATGCAATGAATCAACACTATGCATGGTCACCTATTGAGACTTCAGGTTTGTATGCTCGTTTCGACTTCAGGAGAGGCATATGCAACAAGTCAGACGTACTATGAACGTGTGAACACTCACACCTGCGGATCCTGTTTCTCCTACCAGGGCGTGAGAGACATAAGCAAACGACTCGTTGGTGAGTAGTATATATATCTGTTGATCAAATGACAGCATTGAGCAGTCCAAGTTAACTACCAATAGTCCTTAAAGGCATGCTAGTAGACTGCATGTAAATGCATGTCATGCATGGCATGTATATGGCAACGCATTCGACAATCCTCTGGATCCCTGCATAAAGTAAGCCGCCCTCTTTATAAATTGCTACTGGTATAGCATTATCTGAGACCTATGATAGTCTCTGTAAATGATGAGGTATGATAGCAGCTTTATGCATAATGAGTTCGTGGAACAAATGGTTTCACCTTTGTCTTTTGTCCTGGTATTCTAGGTTTGGAAGAGCATCCAACGACAAAGATTAGATTGGGCAAGGGGTTTGCCTTTGCGTCAGTCGCCTCCGCGCAAGATTTCGAAGAGCAACGAGCACGCTTTTTTGGAGAGCAGGGAAGACTGGACGATTACGTAGAAATGCGCGAGGGACTGGATCTAGCAGGTTGGTATTTATAAAAGCGCAAGCGACGAGTCCGTTTACAAATAACAGCATCAAGAGGATATGGAAACATAAGCCAGAACTGTCCATTTATTGACAGTCTCAGACTACAGTTTATTTCATCTGCAACTCAATATCGTCCCTGTTTAAACTATGATCAAGGAGATGGAAAAAAAGTGATACAAAAAAAACGTATCAGTTGATAGCTTTAATTAACTAGTTATTCGGATTATATGTAGTGAACCTTTTAGTATCATGATAGACATAAACAGTTATTATTTGATTGCTAAAATTGAATTTATTTACCACTAGACTTATTTGAATGAACTTCTATTTTTTTTTTACAAAGTATAGCTGACGTCTCATTTACGTCACAAAAGTCATTGCTTTGCTTCTCATAGAAAGTTATGCGATAGACAAGCGTTAATGAATTTGTTCCTGTAGCTTGGCGTTTAGTAATATGTCTAGCTTTACAACAGAAAGAAAAATACTTGACTTCAACGAATCTGTAAACAGCTAATAAAAATAGATATAGTCAAGCAGAAGGTAGAATAAAATTGAAATTGTCTTTACAAAGCAACTTGGTCATCCATAATTCCAGTTAATGTATGGGTTAGGTACATGGCAGCAGAGCGCATAATGGCAGTGTTACAGTGTTTTAACTGTATTTGGGTAACATTAATAGATTATCAATCGATTCTTCAGAATGTCAGTTACTACTTTCCTTTTGCAAATCCACCTAGTTATTTGTACAGCCTTATTGACTCCGACCTATTCTACATCGCTGTTTATATATATCCCAAACAAATAGATCCCTCCGCTACTTTTGTTTGATCCACTTCCAGTCTTCAAAGATAAATTTTCTAATCGTAAATCGTTGATAGCCCTTTTTGTATGGTTTAACGTCTTCGAAGTGATGCACACTAGCGCAAGGCTGTTGTTTATAATGGATCAGATTGGATCAGTGCGAATAGAATATCCAGTGAACTTTTTTCTGTCCGCTGCCCATTGACCCCAGTCGTTCGTCATCGGATGACCGTCCCCGCTAGTAGAGCATCGGGTGGACTTGCGTACCACAAAGCGTATGAAGCACACTGGTTCAACCCAGTTTCGGTTTTTACCGCCGGTCTGTCTAGCTAGTACCTTTATCTGTGGGACCATCAGACAGTAAGGGACAGCATCCCTTTCGAGACCTTCTGAATGCCACACCGCTGGCTAGTACTTGAGCAAACGCTTAGCGGATGGTAACTTTGCGTAGCATAGTCCTCTGTCCGTTGTTGCTGTTGTCGTAGAACTGCTTTGCCACGCCTGTGGCCTCCTGTCGCGTGGAGGACGCCAATGGCAGCGGGGCCGGAGACAACCACTGAGCTGAAAGGCGTTCCTGCGGACAACAATCATTCCGATCGGCAGTCGCGTAGCTAGGCCCTGGAGCGGGCTAACAGTAATCAACAAATGCCTGCTGCTTCTTCTCTAACCTGGCCGCATTACTAGCTGATGCATCTCCGTAAGGCTGTCGTTTCAGCAAACTCGTTGCATTGTTGCCCCGTCGTCGTCCAATTACTTGCAGTGGCTGTCCCATGTTGTAGCAGTTCGAATGTCTGAACCGCCTCGCCCCGCCTTACTCCTCTGGATCCCCAGAGTTGCTTTGCAACCACTCTGCTTGCGTAGCCCCGGTTGCCATCGCGTCCGTGCCAGCTTAAAAGAAGAGTGCCGACACCCCTTCCCCGTTTTGCCGAGCTTTTTTCGCTAAGCAAGAAAAGTCTCTTTCGCTAGCCAGATTGATCTGACAAAATCGAGGCAAAGCGTTTAAGGGATGGCGCAGTCAGTGGTTGTGCCGGCAAAGACTGAAGAAGCGCACGGGTCACGAAAGCTAGCCATCTAGGTAGCAGATTTCTGAGATTGCTCGACTGGAGCCAGGAGGATCACTTTATACTTTAGAGGAATCACAAAGGCCGAGCGTCGCAGAGAAGCGATAGCGACTGCAGGAGACTCTGGCGGGACAGCTGTGTATAAGACTGTGCTCGGTGTTAGCTTGAAGGAGAAGAAGAAACACGACGCTGTGGATCTGACACTGGCGACGGGAGCCGGTTGCCGGTTCGCCGAGCGACCGGTTGTTTTGGCAGGCAAAGGAGAACAGGCGTCGTTGTCCAACAACGGAGAAGAGCACACACAACAGGATCGGGGGCCATTGGCCCCGATATACCCGGGATACATGCCTATGAATCGAACCATAGCACTTTACTTGCGCGCGGCTGCGTTCGTTCCCGGTCAGATTAAGTGAGCGCTGCTTACTTGTGCTCAAGCTACATAAGTCTGGGCGGCTGTTACCGGTCATTGTAATGTTTTTTAGCAAGACGCCTATGTGAGATGTGTAAGGCATTAACTGTGAGCTCTGCACTCACCGAGGGTCAACAGACGCTTGTCTGCCCAAAGTAGTCGAGGGCCCTCTGATGAGCACTCTAAAAAACGTAGTCGACTGCCGCGACCCATCCACTAGGTGTTCTCTTTCTTCTCTTTGAGCTGCCTAATGTGAACTCGTCTTGATGTAGAGAAATCGGGTAGGTACGCTTAACCTTCCAAACGATGGCATGCATCGATTTCAATTGATCAAGCTGTGAATAAATAATGAAATAATATTGTATTTAACCACTGGCGTTACGAGAGATTAACTCCTTTAAACTACTACATAGAATGTATGATAAAGGATATATGAAAAAAATTAATTAAGGGAACAATAGGAATAAAATGGAAGCTATATAATCAACAACGTCCAAATAAAAGAGTCAAGAAATGTGTATTATTGAATATAAACGGAACTTATTTATTCGTTGTTAAAGTTGACAGTAGCCGCTAATAACCCTGGCCGATTGTGATTGCAAACCGCGTAAAAGCAAAGATGTTTGATAAAAATAAAATAGTGGTAATTGAAATTTACTCAATAAAAGCAAATCAATTAATTCTTCTTCTTCGTCGTGCTACGACGCCGTTTTTGAAGCTCCGGGTCGCCTTAAGGTTATGCGTGCATAAATGAATTATCATCTTGTTTTAGATATCCAGGACTTTTAAGTAAACAATAAGTCTGTCACCTCCAAAGCTCGAGGCACTAATATTATTAGTATTTAGTTGTGCTTATTACTTAGTAAATTCAACTTAGCAAGTTACGTAAACCATCCAGTATGATATTTACAAATGGTAAAAATTAGGTTAGGAAAAAAGTTAGGAGGTCTCCACTGCAGTCGACACGACGTAGGTAAACAGAGAAGCTATTGTATGTGAACATCGAATGAAACTGTATGGTGAGGAATAATTGATATTAGTTAAGATGACAGTGGCAGCGAATCGAGACGGCGGCGGTTCAGGATTTTAAGGAGACAGATCGTCAAAGCTGACTTGAACGGACATCGCAGTTCACAAAAGGAAAAAGGAATAGCGCCGGGTTGGTGTGTGTTTAACGGTGCTTTTGGAGTTGCGGCTGATGTCAATGCAGGGATGCCGCAAGTGCAACCAACAACAAAGCACTTGCGCTTGATTGAGCGTTGTTGCACAAAGCGTCAATGAACAGAAGTGAGCTCGCTCTCGAACCTCGTCCATTTCTTAGCGGCCGTCAAGAAAACTTACAATGTGGGCAACCGACTAGCGGTGGCGGGATGACTATTAAAATAGGGACATCACTTCCTCGTTCTTTTGTGTGTGGGTGTTCTGCTTTCTGTCCAGCAGCGGCGGCGACGGTGGCAACTTACGCGATCCATTGCATGCTTTGCATCCATCCAATCAGGCTGACTGCAAGTTTGAAAGTAGCTCGGCCCGACAGCAGACAATCAGCCGAAGGCCTTGGCTGTGCCTGTGGAACGGTCTTGGCCTGTCCAAGCACGTCTCTAACCATTGTTGCACTTTGCTTCTCTTTTGTCCTCTGTTCAGTCCCGCCGCTCTACCACTCTACCGTTGGTGAACTTACTAAACCCTCGCGCTGCTTATCTTCTCCAGGTCTTTGGTTTCACTTCGTTTACCTTTCCCCTCATGGAAATTGTTATTCCTCAGTTCTCTTCCTTCTGCCTGTCGCTCGCTGCTCTACTGGTTAGCAACGGCACTTATCCCCGGTTGGCAAGCTGCGAGTCCATTTCGTTACAGCAAGCCTATTCCTTCAACTCCTCACTCTCTGATGATGCCACCCGCTATGACTCACTCAAGTTTCGCCGCAGTGGCCATCGTTGCTGCAGCGACGTAACTCGCGCATTGTCGTTCATCGCTATGTTAGCTTGGCTGGCAGCTGACGTTGACTGGAAAGGACTTTCGGGTATGGCTGTCAAAGATCAACTCGACACAATAAAGAGAAATTCCGCGACACGGCCAGGAAAGAAATTCGTTTAGAATTTCAATCTTTTCTGATCTGTTTTGTCAATATGCAACGAAATGCGGATACGCGCAGTGTGAACTCGTGTCTCAATGAGAAGGGTGAGTGCCTCGAAGGTGCCTCTTGATGCCGATATAGCATGCCGCTGAACACCGAATTACTTCGTCTCCTTTTAATGGTGACAGGCTAGTGATAAACGTCATAGAAGTTTAATTATATCTATATGCAAGCACTCCGTTGGTACTGCGCCGTCAGTGGACTAAAATCTAGGTCACGGTATCACCACGTCAATTTTATAGTTGTAAAACCGTTGGAGGTAGTCGGATAACAAAACGTAGTATTAATACGGATCGCCCATAGACTAAGTTCTGCAAACTGGTTTCTAGAAAAGTGCTTCAAATTTCCAATAAAGTGCAAGTTATTAATTCGAACCGGGTAGAAGTCACCAAACAAAGTTTTTTTTTTGTCCTCTGTAACTATTGAGAACACGTCGCGCTGCACAGAAAATTCTATACCAGTGCACGACTTATCAAGTTTAGAAGAAAATAAAATAAGATCATGAAGAAGTAATTTGCCATTGTGTCCACTCTGCCTATTCGACGCTTTAACCTGGCCATCTACAATAACTCGTGGTATATATATGTGTATATATATGCGCCATATGATTAATGAAACGTATGTACACAAGGGTACTGAAATTCTCATGTAGTTTCAGAGCTGTAAGGCGAATACCCTTCTACGCGGCTTTAGATACCTACTGTTGAAGCAAACGTTTTCTAGCAACGAACCAATTTTCTTTGCTTCCAACAGAAATGTATAGTTCTTTGGAGTAATACTAGTAATAATAAGACCATTCGACTCAATCAAATAAGTATTATAGGCTGCCTTAACAGTTGTTTCAGACTTCCTGTAGCAAGTCGCATGTAAATCTCTAGCTATTTTATAAATATCGGTTTGCAGGATGCAATTTCGAGGAATATATCGTAGCGTTCGCAGACCGTCTTCCATGGTACGTGAGCCAGACAGGGTTCTGGCTTTTGTCATTGGCCTTACTATCGTGGCCACTACGTCTCTTTATTGAATATCGCACTGCGCACGTCCACGTCCAATTGACGAAGCTGTTTGGGGATCCTCATCAGCCCTTGCTCTCATCGGCAAGGTGAATCAACAAGTTAACACTTTCAGTCTAGGTATTGCAACGTGCTTCTCATCGCAGATAACTCATCATGTAATTGCTCATAACTTCGTAGCGAATGTACTTCTAGGTGAGAGCCATTTGTAATTTTCTAAAATACACCGTGTGTAAATTATTACGTATTATTGGTATGTATTATTTTGTTATACTAATGCGAACATTTCAAAGTTCTACCTTGACGCAAAGCATTATCAAGAAAATCTGGCCTTTTATTAGATATCGGATTGCTTCCTCGGTAGATCTTCAGGCCTTGCCTTGTCCACAGTTTTGCTTTCTCTCTCTCTCTCTCTCTCTCTCTCTCTCTCTCTCTCTCTCTCTCCCTCTTCTTTGTTTTATATATATATATATTGAACTCATTAACATCATTGAATAGTCACAACAGTCGACAGGTAGAAGGCTAGTCTCAAGGTAATAAACAAAGTTACATACTTGTAAAGAATCGAAATATTAAATAAAAGACTAGAACATAATTGTGTAATACGACCTACTCATGCATCTCGTTATAATGTTCTTCCAAATCACTGCTATCCAATAAACCGGCCCTTAGAAATTTAGCGATAAATCCTACTTTCTTCGTGTCATTTCAGTAATCCGTCAATGACGACATGTTTAAATTCGCCCGACACAATCGACAATCCCACACTTGAGCCAATGTCCTACTCGGAAGCGTTGCTGTACCCTGACCTTTCCGAGCTAGCCGGCCGCGTGGACCTAACTCAGGCGACGAATTTAGTCAATAATCTTGGAGGTAATAACCATGTTACAGCTCATGATTTGCAGGAGGCTGATACACAGTCTAATGTCAAAAGTAATTCGCTCGGCGGACGCCGCTCTTGGGGAGGCTACCCTAGTCCCACTGCTTCATCGCATCAGGTAAAACGACTGATTACATAATATGCCTGCCATTTCTCTACGTTTTATCATTTCAATTCATAATAGCCATATCCATAGATGCAACGTATTTAGATCTGACATAAGCCAGCACCTTATAGAAAACCATATGATGTACGTATATAAGACATAATCTGAAGCGGAGTGAAATTAAAGCAAAAGTCGAACAACTTTTTACGTATAGGAAAGCATTTTTCCAACCCAAAGTCGATATTATTCGTGAAAAGAGAAACATCATTCTTACCCTTCTGAATCAACTAATTTCTTAACCTACCTTGTTTCGTTTTCCATGGATTTGTGTCCAGATCTTATATTACGAACTTCCTTCCCCGCCTTCGTACCTGGATGCTATCTCTTCGGACGGAGTCCCATTGGCTCCTCCTCTAAATGGCTCTGGTGGATCTCTTACTACGGGAGCCTTTGGTTTACTCCGACGCTCTATAACGGACAGGGACCTAGTCAGCCGCATTTTCAGCTCCAGCTCATTGTTAGACGACGTTACGAGATCTCATCATTGGAGTCCCGAGACGCCCCTTTAACCAATAATATCCTGTATGGATTGCACCACTATCAAGGGACGCTCGACTATCTAATCGTACATGCTCGTCCCCCCATAAGGTTATATGCGATACAAAAAAATAGCATAGGCGAGCTTACCCCAGACATCTAAAACTGGAACCAAATGGGTGGTACGATTACCTTACTTTCGTGCAGTGGCCAACCAGTGTATTTGAACTCGGGTTTCAACGCCTATTTATTTTTTATGGGGTAGCGAGCATTACGCACGCTATCAGGAAAATGCTCTGCATAAATTGTTTATAGTATTGGGCTTCTCATTCAAGCACATCGTTGTCTCAAAACCACTTAATAGTATTTATTATAAAGGCATGCTAGAATAAACGTGATGATAAGCCCGATAAAAGTTGCTTTATATTCTTTATATACTTTTATATAGTTCCGTTAATCGCAGGAACGAATTTTCCCTATAACTCAAAAATTTTTCCACATTCTAACTAAAAAAAATCATGCGCTAAAGTTGGGCCACGTCTTTACTTCTAGAAGTTTATTTATACTGGGGCCACACTTGGCGAGTTAGACCCGAACATTCAAGGGATCTGACCTGAATCTTTTTCTTTTACCTGACAAAGATCTACTGTCAGTTCGTACACTGGTCCGCCGCAAGCTCCACTGATCTTGTGATATAATAAAAATATTTATATACCTACAAACATATATACACGAACGGCTGAACCTAGTAAAACCAGCGAGATGACTTCTCAAAGGTTATACCTAATAGTAAACCAAAAATGAATAAAATATGAACTATGGCATTCATGGAGACGACATTAAGTATTGCAGGGAAGGCCACGGCAAAAATTTTATAGTATGATTTAAAGAATTTTCTAATTATAGGACCCTGTTTGTGGCTTTCAGAATGGCAACATTAGGTCAAATAAATTAAAAATAGTAGGCTTCTTCGAAATTTAAGCAGCACATATTCGCTAAAATACATAATTTTAACGATCTAAATTCAATGTTATAACCTAATGTATAATGCTGTTGACGCTAAATAATACATATATACAGAAAAAGAAGCACATATAGAGGAAATAAAGAAAAAGGCTACCACCGCTTATAGTAGTGATGGACAAGTACGCCAAGTAACATTAGCAGACGCGCGATCAATTCATTATTTATGAAAAAAACTATTGCAGTAGAGTTTCTCCGATTTACAGTCAATTGTTCGATATATACACACGTACCTAAACGTAAACAATGCACAGACAAGCAGCATACAATATCAAGCCATAAAGACGCAAGCTGAGAATTACTTCGAGAAGCGGATAGACGCAGGAAGACCATGATAAAACTTCAAAAATGTAAACAGTAAAGATGTAGAATTAATCTGCTAAGGCAACTGCTATTGCTGTCATTAGAAATAATCCGTCAGTATGAATGAAAAAGGAAAAAACTGTAAGAAAATTGCAGTTAGGGCCAAAACAAAGGACGGAATTGCATAGACAGATTGCATCGGTTGCCTTGCCAGGGATTGCCACCGAGTACCTACAGAAAATCCGCCCAACTGCTTTGCCCTTTCTTGTCCTTTTTGGCTTTCGATATAATCACAATAATTCCAATAGCAATGTATAATTCAATACTGAGAATAGTAGTACTAACAATAAACATGTTAGTGCAACGATGGTATTGCTGATAATACAGCACTTTTGAATTGAAAACGTCAAAAATAAGCTAAACACTACGCAGTAATAATGTAATATGTCAAAAAAATTGATCCATCGTTGCTGCTGGTGAGATGAGTGAAGTTCTGATTGTTCTGACTGTGACCAAATGGCCGATACAGGAAGTGGGAATATACGTATTCAACCCCCCCCCCCCCCCAACGGAAATTAATAAAACTGTTGGCCTTTTTCGATGTTAGGTCTTACTAAGCTGCTTACAGCCTTTTACAAGGTACAGATTTAGAAATCAACACACCAATTTCCTAACAGGCAAAAATCATGATCCAATTTTTCTATACTTTACCTAGAATTCGTTGAAACCTATGATACAATTCTCCCCAATGCAATAGACAGCTTTTTATCATTGTCTGCGTGCACTTACTATACATTTTTGGGCATATATTTAAAGTACAACAATTGAGTACGTTGAAGTAAACAAAGAATTCTTCATCTAAATCCGATTGAGATTTTATCCTTAGCGACGATCCAATTATAAAGCATTACCTCTATAAAATGGCTGTTGGCAATACCGTCAGTAGTGCTAGCAAATAAAACAAACGAATTGCATTCCGATTAGGAGGGTGTTAACGTTGAATAAGAAACGTGTCTGTTTAAACTCAGAAAGTTGGCCTGAGTGCCGCACCTATCGTGTGTGACCGTCGTCGATACTCGAGAACTTCCTATTGTATCGTACCGTACCCACCTCAACGATAGGTAACGGCTTTTCAGGAACCACTCTAAATACGCTTGTTAGCTTTCCGCAACAAAACGTGTCACATAAAAGTATGATACAGGCCATTGATCACTTATGACGCATTCAATAATGCATAGCGGATATTGACGATCAATCATAATATATCTATAATAACTCCTGTATATAATTTATCCACATGTAAACGACCGTATCTATGATACTGTCGGCCTACAGTATAATGAAATAATAGGATAACATGTTGTTAAATGTGGAACAAAAACATATGGAAACAAGTTCCGTTAGTCAACGTGCTTAACATAATTAATAATGGAAATTAGAAAAATCATTACATTATTATTATTATTACAAGTTACATGGAGTGGATCAGCTCTATATTCATTAGCACAAACCGTAACGCTTATAAGCATGTAAAGTAAATGTATATATATATATCAAACTGTTATAATCGAAACACAATGGGGTTGAGGTTCTATAATGCTAAGCTTTGGGTAAGTTGTTGCTACTACCGCCCCCATTATCAGAAACAACTTGAATTATGATAGCATTACGGCGAGTGCAGACTCGCATACACACAGATTGTAGACTGCCGTTAATAGGGATGCTACTAAGACTCACATACAGTTATAATAGCGATTTTAGAGGGACTTGCTTCACTTTAATTTTTATTAAATCAAACGTTGTGAGAGCTCGAAAGTCTCAGATATAAGACCAAAATAGAAAACACTATTACAGGTATGATCATTTTACTCAAAATGAGACTTGATCCTGCTAAGAACGTCGATTATACTGAACTGTAGAGTAAGTTAATGAAAATAAAGTTATATAGCAATAAGCTTCACAATGACAATAAAAGTTTCTATGTTGCACACACAACATTGAAACCTAGTAAAATTAACTGAATTTCAAAATGATAGAATCTCTCGTTTTCGATCTCATCTCAAACAGTTCTGCGAATTTTTGCGAAGCTTGTCTTAATTGTTGTATCATTATTACTAGCTCGTTCGAAGTATTACGGGTTGAATGCTAGCGAAACCAATCAATAGCGTAGAAAATTAGCTACTCGCTTGTCAACTATTAATTTAACAAACACTGTTAAATACTGAAAGAGTCTATCTACTAATGTTGGCTTTATCACGGCTTTGAACGCGCTAGCCAGATACGACAAAAAAGATGTCAATAAAATCTCTATCGAATCCCAGACGAATTTTGCGCTCTTTTCGATTACAACAAAACACAACACAAGCTGTCTGTTGTTTCGAAGTAGTCCAGAGTTCAGGCGTTGCAAGTACCACAGTATTTAAACACAGTCCTCGCGGGTCGAGAGGGACAATTCTTTTCACATCCGCAGAAATTTGGTCATCATTATCCAAGACATCGATCACATCAAGAAAAGATGACCTGAATAAGAAGCGAGAGATCGCCTACAAAAAAATACACATGCACGTAGTGCATCCGTAGTTTTTTGTACGTAGTAAGCCGGACCAAAATATGCACCTTTTTATGGCGATGATGTTTAGTGCCTTACAAATAGCATACCTTTCATTTGGCTATCAAATGTATTCAGAACTGATCCCCCAGTACTCGAAAAAATTAGGAATCCTCACACACATACTGAACCCACTGATGCTCTCTGAAAATTACCTTCTGGCTGTAAGCTACAACCAACGTAGCATGCGGGTGCACGGTACGTATTGGCTGTGATGTATCACGAACGACCCCACCAACATACCGTACTTGACCTGTTCTTGGTGGAGGTGGCATTCTGTAGCGAGAGTCTCAGCGTATTGTCTTGACTGCTTTTAATGGGTCTGTTCAAACTCTGCCCGAGAAACCTATCACTGCCTATGAAAAATCTTGATCGCGCTGTACGAGCGTAACTTTCGGAGCGAAGGCGTGACAAAAGAGAGAACGGCCGAACTAATATCATGACTGACTTTTGAATCTCTTCATCTGGCTTACAGTCAAGAGTAACAACTAACCTCGTTGCGAGTTAGCATGATTTTCTTTGATAATGTTTCTCAAGCTTTGAGCTTGCTTTCCAACACCTTGTATCTTAAAGTTGAAAAGGAAAGTGGGCAACAAGATTCACCTTCATTATCCTTATTCGAAAACGAGATAAGCGATCAGCCAGTTTACAAGAAGTTCTCTGCTGGCATCGTTGTGGAAAATCCGTAATTGATGTACCAAATTCGGGGAAACGTCCCACAGGCCCTTATATTTTGTACGCGTCCAGATAGCAAAGACCTTTCCGCGCATACGTTTGTTACCCTGCAAAATGGCCACCGGTTGTGGCTTCCTCGTAATGTTGCTAGCATCAAACAAAGATGCTAGCAAACCATCTCTGGTTAACTGAGCTAGTTCATTTCGTAGTTGGGTCAACCCCTGCCGGGGAAAATAGGAAATTCGTACATTTATTTGATTGGACAGCACCACCACGATCTTGACGCCTTCCTGTTTGCAAAGTATTTACCAGGAATCGAGCACTGCACGAGATCAACCGGAATACAGTACCAAAAAAAAGTATCTGCCTTAAACCTTCGATGCGGTACCTATCACCTCTCAGTCTCATTGATTCAGGTTAGAAAGTACAGTTGTGTATTAGTCGCTATTAAATCAGAATGCTTCACGTATCGGTTGGTCTCCAAAGGCAGGTAACACAAAGCAGAATATGGTAAAATGTCTATTTTAAGTTACGCTTATTGTTTGCTTCTTATAGCTGAATTTCTTGCGATTCGTGAGGCTTACTAACGGTCTTTATTCGCCAGTTCTACATGTGAAATGATCTTCACAGCTAATGGTCGTAAAGACAGGTCGGGTCAGTTGAAAACGTGAAGGGCAACAACCGTGAGGCAAACATGGTATTGCACTCGGAGCTAAACTGAGCTACATTGGAATACGCATGTTGGATATAAACTGTTTAATAATACTTGAAAGCGAAGTCACACTTAACAGTTACTAAAGCTTGAATGACTGTATAAAACGTACGAGTGCATAAGATCTGCAATACTCCTAACACCAACCAATACGTCACTAATTGCAATACCTTGTGATTATATTCTACTTCTTCTAAGTTAAGCTTATGTATTATGCAGTCACGAGAAAATCTCCAATGCTGACCAACGTTACCTAAGCTATAACGAATGTCATATAACGAGATGCACGAACGAACCGATGCCTGGAATAAACCCATAACAATATTACACCAAGAGTCTGCCTTTCATAGCTCGTTGACCAAAATAATGCAGCACTGCTGAAAAGAACCACACACGCCCAGTTGGGATTCGAAGAAATTGCGTTTAATTAATGATAAAAAAAGGATCGGGATTGTGGTACACAACCTGGCAAATTACGTACCAGGCAGTGGTACCCTCCCGCTTGGCCGCGTCTTCTTGAACGACGTAGGGCTATAGGTTCATAGTTCCTGTTCAAGAATCTGCCCGTACGTTTGTCCTGAACGATATTCTTTTAAGCGACGCAGTTTGGCAGGTTAGGAATTCGCTCAAAATTTCACTTATAATCTCGAACACATACGCACTGTGACCAATGCCACCACACAAGACAACTCATCACAATTTGACGCCACCGTCGACTAAACGGCGCTTCTACGTATATCCGCCTCTACTTAGGACGGGAATAGTAGGAAAAATAAATACTACATGTTCAGTTAGCTGTTGGAAACAGATAAGTCCGATGAAACAAAATAACGCTAGTACCAGCAACAACATAACATCAATTACATACGGTTACTTCGTGTTCCCTAGTTATAAAACTAGGTTGCAGAGCCATGCGGTCTCTCAGCATCAGCGTATGCAAAAAAACATACCTTACTTACGATCATATTAAAGTTACCGCCAATGTTATTACCTAAAAATCTAATTAGTACTAATACCTTAGGTTCATCGGGTAATCCTATTTTTAAATACAGTGCAAATGCCATGTTGATGCTGTCATCCCTTTTCCGAAGGACCCCGTTGCAACGCATTCGTTGCAAAAGTATCGCTTACCTTCTGCCAAAACAAACCCTCAAAGGCTAACTTGTATCACCGAATGCGGCCGTTTATCTTGTCCGACTTGGCCGCGATTTTTGCAACGACAGTTGCCAATGGATGATTTCACTGCATTTCGATTACGAGCTCTTGTAGTTGCTCCTAACGGCTTCCAGTGGATACGTTCTAGCTCCCACGTGCATCGTGGTTAAACAAATGACGCTTAACTCCTCTGTCCCGTTAATAGATAAGCGAATCTATGAGTCGAAGTTGAGCCACAGCTCGCCGGATGACGGACGCAGGCTTCATATGCGATATACTTAAAGATGGTGACATCTAGTTATAAGCTAGTACTGAATCGGGTCCTTAAGGATAACAAACGTCATAATTTTAATTCACTCTCAGAAAAAAATCTTGTAGCAACATGCAGTAAAAGCCATTCAACATAATTTGATGGCTGTTCAAACGCTTATCCTTGTGGTCGATATTTTATTTTAGCTTGATGACAACGGCTTTAAGGGTAATCTGAAATAATCTGAGTTTTCCAGGTGATACACACGGTCTGGAACGTGATTGTCTGCTCTGTCATAACTGTTCCCTTTTATAGTCTAACCTCGGCGCAAAAAAATCTGCTGTTTAAGCAGTTCGTGAACCTGTTACTCGAAAACAATTGATTAGGATCGTAAACAATGGAGGATTACCTGCGTGAGGTGTTGAGCCTTTGTTAGCATCAATGAAGTTTCGATAACAGGGGCTTACCATCAAATAAAATGATTGCTTTGAAGATAACTAAAGCGTCTTTTGTATTACAGATGACGTTAAATATTTTCTTGTGATTACACCTATTACTAGTAACTTATGCTAGTACTCGAAAATAGGCACTTTTCTCTAGGTTCCAATAATATCTTGTGTCAAATATATAGTTTTGGTCATGTCTAAACCAAAAGATATCATCTTATTTAGGGCCTAACGTAAGTTTTTTCGTATAATGAGTATGAGCTTAATTTTGATGTCATATTGGTTTGCTGGCCCAAAGGTCTTCGCCTGAACTTCTGGAATTCGTTCTAAAATCAGCAGACGACATCACCTTTGAGAATTGCTATGTCAGTATCCATGTCTTGCTTATGCTTCGTTTTGGTGAAATTGTTTGTTGCGTAGAAACAGACATAGTTGCTGTCATCTTAGTTATCAAACTTTAATCTTTCGAATACACATGCTAAATCAAAAGTTATTAAGTGTTTTTGTTCTATGCGAGAGCTTCCCTGGGTAAAACCTGAGCATTTCATTTCGACTTTTCGTATCGATGCAGCCAGGTACACATTTGCTATAAAAATCAGTCTGATTGGCTCAGTAATTTTGCATGCATCTAAATCTTTGACACAGGGACGCTCGTTCGTATAGACAACTTAGCAAGGTAAGTTTAATAATAGAAATTCACTCAAGTTTATTAGTTGCTGGTTGTCCTTTGTGGAGTTATTCAAGTTTGTCAGTCTAACGCGAATGCGACATCATCATCGCTATTATCGACATCTACGCAAAGGAAATGACCAGTGAAACAAACGCGCTAGATGACCGTCTAGATCGCCTGCACTTTGCCTTGATGTAGTTAATGCGGCTTTCCTTTTCTCGCGCGGCGCGTGTACGTGGCGGACTATAAAGTGTCGGTATAATTGGCTTCCAGCCACGGAAAAAATGGACCTTGGCGTGTTGGCGCCGCTAGTGTTGAGAGAGAAGGAAACAACAGCCGGAATCGTCAAGGGGGAGAATGCAAACTCGAGGTCAAAAAATAAAAAGGTCTACCAAGAAATCTGTTCATGTGCCACGATTGGAACTTCGGCGGAATAGCGAGTGACGCACACAACGCCATGAAGACGGTAAGTGACAAACTCACTAAAGAAACATGAAAGTGTAACAGCATTCATGCAGGAATAGGATATAATGTTATAATAAAAGCACAGCGTATGTAGTAGCAATTATATTAATATAATTATTCATGTTAATTTTTGCCAGGTACTTATTTTTTTTTATAGAGCACCTAACTGTATTCCACTTTAGTTGGAAAATCAATCACTGGAACAAAAACTTCGTCTGTTACTGCTAACATGAGTGGATTTACGTCCTTGAGCTGTAGTTTTACTTTGGCTTTTGTCGGAAAGCAGTAAACAGGTAGGTGTTGAAGATTAAGGCGAAATCGAATAAAATACTGCTATGACATCAGCCTTTTAAGCCTTCAATTATAATGTAGTCACTCATAACTCATTCAAGATTTCATTAGATCAGTACGTAGTCGCTACAATCGCCTGACAAGTTAACATAAAATTTAGGATTGTGTTACAGCTTAACGGGCAAATATATCCATTAGAAATCAAGAGCTGTTTTCTGCTATGTTACATATTGCTCCCTCCGATCGAAATCTCAAGACGCGCGTCGCAATCTCGTCCGAGGGCTTGATCTCTAACGGCGATTGTTTCCGTAATGCTTAACAATAGCTAATTTCTGTGCTTTTATTACAAGAAAAACAATATACGAGAGCAATTTTTTACTATATAGTTCCTAGCATACTCACACGACGGACTGTAAGATTCGATGCGGCGCCAATTACCAATTGATTAATATTGGCTATAATACAATTTAGTATCCTGATATTCTTTGCAACATCTATGTATTACTTACTTGTGTAGAAAATATGGAAACACGATATTCCAATAAGAGTCACCTGTTTGTTTTTACTTAAATACTGTCAACCCTTTGACTCTCATCGTTATTTTCTAAACGCAGACTTCCTTCTTAAAATGCTGATATCACTGAGTCACTGCTCAACTGCGACGCAGATGCATACATAAAGACAAAAGCAAAAAAAAAAACAAGATGAACGCGTCACTAGTGTTGGCTAACCGCCATATTTATCAGTCCACAACGAGACGCAAATACTGATGCTCCCTGATGATCCCTGGACCAGAACACATGTAGAGTTAAGGACAGGCAGCAGGAAATACGATACGGTAAACTGTTGCATTTTTCATTCGGCAGATGTCGTTTTTAGAACAAAAAAATATAATTAGCCATTACAAACTTTCTTCACCTACCAAAAGCGTAACATGAGCCATCTCCAGGAGGAAACGTTACGACAATGGCGTACGCGGACAAAGTATACCCATAGAACAAGCAATATAGGGATCAGTGTCAGCATATTTAGGTTTCGTTTAATGTGCGTGCCCGTAAACATATTGCATCAGACGAGATTACAAGTTATATATAACTTAACTACCGTATTCGCTTCCTAACGGTTCTAAAACATCTCACAATGTCATCCTCTGCAGTGGCGTATCATTCTGTTAGCGCTGTTGGTTCTAGCTCTGCGGACGGGCGCAGAAGAAGCCACGACAACAAAAGCGGCTGAAAGCACAGCTAAGGGATCGACAGAAGCAGCTGGTTCTGAGGTAACAACCATTGAGACCCCTGATGAGAGAAATGGCACGGAGGGTAACTCAACCGTGGAACAAAGAGGAATCTTTCCGGTAGGCGGTTTTGGAGGGGGTTATGGCGGCGGTTTTGGAGGAGGTCAGTTCGGGCAGGGATTTAATGAAGGCGGTTATAATGTAAGTGATCGGTGCACGCTAATACATGCCATGCCTCCCCTCGCTTATTATACGCTTATATATATATATATATATATATATATACGAAATTTTTCGGATAATAAGGCGGCAAATTTATGTCTAACAAACGGACAAAACGACAAGATCTCCTTATCATCAAGTTTTTTGCCAATATTTCTTGAGACACTTACAAAACACAACTCACTATCCTTTCTGCTTCATATCGAGTGCTGTTTACCCACTATCTCACATTATAACCGGCTCGCCATTTCAGTCAGGAGGATCCCACGGCGTTTCCAGCTACGGCTATAACCACGGCGGATCTAACACTAAGGCATTTGGCAACAAGGAGACATACGGCTCAAAAGAGTCTTTCGGTTATTCGTCGGAAAACTCACACGCGCAGGGTGCCGGCCATCAAGCGCATGGCTCACAATACGCGGCAGGCGGAGGCGGTTCGGGCTATCAGCAGGCAGGTTATGCCGGAGGTTACGGAGGCGGCCATGGAGGCGGTTATGGAGGCGGCCATGGGGGTGGTTTTGGAGGCGGCCATGGGGGCGGTTATGGAGGCGGCCATGGGGGCGGTTATGGAGGAGGCCGCCCCGTGGGGGGTGGTAGTGGTGGCTATATTGCGAGCGCAGGCCAAGGGGCCTACAGTGGCGGGGGTTACGCTGGCGGCGGGGCTTCATACGCACAAGGTGGAAGCTACAAGCAAGGCAGCAGCTACTCGCACGGTGGAAAATACGCAGCAGGAGGTACACATGCATGTCAAGAAACAATTCTTTCTCAATCTGATTTTCGAAGCTAATGATCTCATTTATGGAGGTTATTCAAATGCTTGGCGTAGTAAAAACGTTGAACGTTGTCATTAAGCAGACAATGGTAGGTATTTTGCTTACGTAAGCGTTAAACAATGGCTCTTATATTCAAGACTCTATATTGGAAGTATACGATCTTAAATAAGGCTGATATACTATGATGCTGCCCACTGGACTATTTCCAGGTTTCCTCGCAGGTCTCGATCCATATGTAAACTACTAAACGTTTTTTGTGTCGTTGCATATATAAGGCGGATCTCATCACGCGGGAGGAGGATATTACGGCGGACATGGCGGGGCTAATGGCGGAGGTTACAAGCTGATTGCAGTAATTCCGATCGGCGGAGCGAGCTACAAAGGAGGCGGCGGTTATGGAAGCGGTGGTGGTTACGGAGGCGGTTACGGAGGCGGTTACGGAGGCGGTTACGGAGGCGGCTACGGTGGTGGTGGCGGCGGCTACGGAAGTGGAGTCTATAAGGTTGCTCAAGGCAGTGGTTATGGTGGGGGTAGTGCCAGTTACGCTGGAGGTAGCTACTCTGCCGGAGGTGGTCAGGCAGCAGCTGGTGGTTTTAAACAAGAAGGAGGCTTTAAGGAGGAAGGTGGTTTTAAGCAGGAGGGTGGATATGTGGTTGGAGGTGGTGGAGGTGGAGGAGGCGGCGGAGGCGGCGGAGGCTTTGTTCCTGGCGGCGGAGGATTTGCCGCTGGCGGAGGTCAAAGTGGAGCTTATGCAAATAATGCAGGAGGGGGAGGTTTTGTTGGCGGCGGAGGATATCACGGAGCTGGTGAATTAGGCGGACCTATCGGTGGAGGAGCCACTATCGGTGGGGCTCAAAAAGCGTAAGTGACACCTACATTTTTTTTTTTATACGTATACTTGAATACTTGCCACAGCGGTTCTATGCGGGAGCCTTATTTTTTATAATACTGATATGCAAAGCAACTACAATTTATAGGTTATCCCCAGCCAGTAGGTGAGTTGTATTTAATATGGTGTAAATTTTAGCTGACAAAAAAATTGTGCGCACCTAAACCCAACTTAACAGATCTGTCCAGCAAAAAATCTATTTCGAGAAATACAGTGTTCTTTCTTATAAAAGATACTATTTTTATATTTGTTTCCTAAGGTCTTATGATTGCTTGGCATATACTAGATCTAGCTAGAAACCAAACATTATATCAAGCCACCGGCCCATTGGAATATAGCTATCTTCTTAGTAAAATATTGTTTCGTCACGCCTCGAATATTATTGAGTGCAATGCATTCACGTCAGCATGAAGCGTTGAAAAACACATGCGGGTGCATTGCGTATTTGAATAACATGCAGGCAGTGCTGGAAATGCGTTTCGCAGCGCTTTCGACCCCCTTAAAAATCTTCGATATTGTCAAAAAGAGATTGTGATTACGCATTAATACCCCCTAGTTACTGATGACGGTGTGCCGCTTGTTGATGTCTCAGGCCGATGACAAGCAACACAAACGGCCAGCTTTTCGATCACCTAAAAAACAAAAAAAAATACATTCGCCAGCTTCATCGAGCGCTTCACCTCTGAGAGAAAGAACTGAGTATATAATTCCTACTCCCCAGAGCAAACGATACTACTGGCAGATACGATTGCTCCTACTTGAAATTAGAATATTATGAATCGGAAAAGAGAACAATAGTTAACTGGTCTCGGTTATCCATTTACGTTGAAGCTATGAGAAGACTAATGGCGACTAGTCGAATGTTAAATTGCATTGTACGATAGTTTTTATTGTTCTAATTACATAACGGAAAAAATCGTTTCTTCCGCGCCCGAACGCTGGCGCCAGATAGCCCACGAATACCTTAACGTTCCCTGGCTTTTTCAGACGCTGTGTTAAGTCTAAGACGCGTAAAAAGATTGCAGTGCTTTTAATTCTAGTTTATTGGTCTTCAAATCCTATCTATCTGCGTCAAACGACTCCGCTATAGCTTTTGAGTTGACAAAATGCTATATCTCAGTGATATTTTTAATGCATAAACTTGTTGTAGCAGTCGCCAAAAGTACCATTGATGCCGACTATCTTTTGTTTTTTTTAGATCGGGTACTTTCGGAAAGAAGTTACGTAGTCCGTACGTTACACAATTATTTCGTCTTCATATCCTTCTAGTTCGTCATATCTATTGATTGAAAATTAGATATCTATACTATAATAATGATATTAATAATAACTTAGTTAATAATAGTTTTACTAATAAGACGACCGCTTGACACTCAGCATGTGATATCTTACGCCTAGCGAGTTGCTATATTTGCGTCACTAGCTACTATAACTTTTCGATTTCATTGACAGTATCTTACATGTTACGCAACCAGTATTATGTTTTAAACATAGTTTCTATGACCTACGCAAACAAACGGTGGCTTTTTGGCAAGTAGCGGTCCTAAATTTAGTGCGTGGCTCAATCTTGAGATAAATCTGAGTCATAGCACCACTATCAGAACAACATTGAGAATCTGAGCATTATTCTATAACACGTACTAGTTACTATTCGCTTTTACGTCTTCCTCTTTGGTTAGCAGAAGATCAGCCATAAAAGTTGTGTAGATAAAGCCCTCGAACACTTCTACTGCAGTTCAAGCTGATTCAAAGCAATTACTTGGCTGCGTTTTGTGAAACATGTAAGACAGCTTTGTGGACATTGATCTCCAACAATATAAACAAATATCGTCATGCTCCAATTTTTAATTACAGCATGATTTTTAACGTTTTCTAAGCACAGTATAGCTAACTGGAGAATCCGACTTTAGCAAAAATAAACATCTGATTTTTACTGTCGGTGTTTATGAGTCTGGATAGAACAAAGCCATCCAACTATCGACGTAATGGCCACGATACTAAAATTGCATTTTTTTCATTAACTATTACTTTATAGACATGTATAAATTACATGTAATATATACCGTTTCGCTACTACTTATTAAGCTTATGACCATAGTTGTAAAGCATGCGCATTAGCGCGCCTACGATACTCTACTTAGTCGGCATGGCTAAACTCTATGTGACAATGAACTAATCCCTTACATTACCTATATCGACCAGTCAGTCGTATGTAACTAATGCCTTGGTCTTATAATTATTTCGGCTGTAGATTAAGCTTTGCTGAAGGGGCAAAAACTGAAGGTGCAGAGTCCGGCCAGGCGGCGTATAAGTATGATCATGGCGGATCGTCAACGAAGACGTTTGGAACAAAGGAGACCTTTGGCAGCAAAGAATCGTTTGGTTCCGAGAGCAGTTCTGCCCATGCTCAGGGTTCTGGACAACAAGCTCATGCCTCTCAAAGTAGCTCCGGATCATTCAGCTCTGGGCCGGTTGGCTAGGTTATACAAAAAATGTTCGAGGTCAAAGACTTTCGAGTCACTGAGAGACCCACTCCTAGCGGATCATTTTGAATTGAGGAACAAATTCAACTGTGATCGCGGTATCGCATACAGCATGTAATTACTGCTTTTTTCTCTAATAAATGCTCACCTTTCAGTTGTTATATCATACATCGTCGTGATACTTTGATGTTTCCCCTAAAACTGGTTTGATTCATGCTCTGCCGTGTCCAATAGGAATCTATCAAAAATACGACTGGTGCAATCACCATGTTATAAATAGGCACCACGAATTGTCCTCGACCTTGTACGTTGCTTCCTGTTTACTTTAGGTCGATGGATGATCGCAGTGAGGCGTCCTCTTCACAAGAGAATTCAACGCCAAAAAAAGGACATGTGAAACCACAGAAGATTATGAATACTGAACCCTGTCGTTTGACTGTTACGGTGCCATCCATAACCCTGACGCTTGCTGAAGAAAGGATATACATTAGATGTTCTTGCTTGAATATTTCCAGCGTTTCGTAGTTGCAGACTACTATCTAATTAATTAGACTGTTTATAAATAGTAAAATGAAATTAGCAATTAAAAAGTGTTCTACTCGAAGTTATGTGTGTATGTTACCAACGAAATACAGAAGATCTAGGTATCCGGTTTTTGAAAATTCTAAGCAAGTAGTTTGAGAATTAGAATCTCAATATACGTGTTATTTTCGAGCGGAAGTTAAGCAAAGGAGAGGGCTTCGCTTAGTGATAGCTCTCTAATGGGGCTAAATAATTTTACAGATAATATTTAGTTTTTGTAATATTAACAAGAAAACATATCGTCGCCATGGAAAGATTCTTAGAAAACGTTTGCATTGTAGATAACTAGATATCATCGAAGCTAACATTGCACAATAGAAATTAGGCAGGAACAATGCGAAGGCATCACACGGTCTTGGTTTTGACCTCACAGGGTTCGTGCAAATCGAGCATGGCTGACGTCGAGCATTGTAGATGGCTGCTACCCAAAAATCCACAAATTTGCTTTATATTGTTCAGCCAGCAATTAGATGCCCTTGCTCGTTTGGTCTATCTTTAATTAGAATATATTTAATTTGACTGTCTTTAATGGACCGCTATATTTAAACCACTAGAAAAGGGCAGATGTTTTTTAAAGTAGCACAGATGTTTGAGGAGTTAATAACCCTGACCATGTAAACTAGTATTGCGACACTTTCGAGTAGAACCACCACAAATGACGCCACATACGCATACTTGCGTTCAAACGTAACGTAAAAGCTGATGAACAGCAACAATTACTAGAAAAACAAAAAGGAGCTATAGGTCTTATGTAAGTATCTCTAGTTGTTATTTCCACGAAAGACAGTTTTGGTTGAGTTGTAGTTCTATAACTACTTACAGAAATTGGCATCTCTCCAGCTGCGTAAATATTATTGTCTGGCTGTTCCAAAATCTGCAAAATTAGAATTAGTGACTAATGTGATCTTTACGAAAATTGTTTTTCATTGGCACTAAATGGCTACGCTTGACTGAAACGTCCGCAGAAAGGCGCCACGTCTACTGCGTCTGCAGCGACCGCTGTTGGCTTTGAATGTTACCACGATAGCGCTGAATTTCTTACACTACCGCTACTACTACTACTACTATATATCGTCACCAACACGTAAATAAAGTCGTCTTCTAATTTAAAAGTATTTATTCTCCTTATCGGTAAAAAAGAAAAAAGATGCACTTCTTTTCTGCAAAAAGAAGTAAAGCAAAAATGTTTACGCACTTGTGCGTGTATTGTGACTCCTTTAAAACATATACCTCGTAGACGTACCTATTATTACGAACAACAAGTATCAGAAAACAGTTATTAATAGGATTGATTACGTTTGCGTACTAAAAAGGGGAGATAACATAATTGTGTGCCACCCATATGTATACTCCACCTCATAAACTCCAGTAAGTTGAGTAAAGTAATGGAGTTTAGCAATGTGTTGATGCTGACGCTAAATATGTATGTTAGCTGAATATGTAAGTAAGTTCTTTCTGTTACTACTTATCGCAGTTAATTAAAACACAACGATCGCCGCATTATTTTAAGCAGTCCCAACAACGGTCCTTATTTAACATAGACACCTGTAGCCCTGCGTATCTTCGCTGACATTGAGTACTACGCTTTATGCCATAGTTTGTGGACAATAAGTTAATTTTATTGACAGTAAGCGATAAATTCTGTTTGGGACAATTTGTTCATAGCATTTTAAAAACGAAGAAAAACAATGAATACATTGACCTAGTGAAGCGATTCAACTTTTTGTTTTTGGTACATACAGAATGCAAACAGGAATCAAGTTCCTCCAAACCCCTTTGAAACATTTGTTTTGCTGAATAGAACCACAGCGCATCTTAGCCTGCCTTATGTCTCTATCTTGGCAGAATAAAAGTGTTGTCAATATAGAGATGTAAAGCCATAAGTGTGTTAAATTTACCGTTTGGGAGAACTCATTGCTAACGAACTGTGGTAGTAACAGTAGAACGTTTTCAGATCTACGGGAAAATACACGATTGAAACGAAACGCAGTTCGAACGCGTATTGGATTTCTGTTGATGCCTGCGTCACCCCCTATCTTCACACTTCGTTACACGTCAACTATATTTCTAAGCAGTCTTGAGAACAAATAGAAATAGTACACAAGGAAGAGAAAGCCAGCTTCAGTGGGTGAGCGCGGTAGATAACAGCGGAAAAAACAGAAACTCTTAGAAAACAACGTAAAATATTGTCTGAAACATAACCTCGTTTTTCATCGTAACTCATTCTCGTCTGTTGCTGCTGCTGCTATCTCTAAAACATCGTATCGTTACCGTCGGGACATCATCATTCCGCCGAATCTGTCGGCCTCAACGCCCCGTAATTAAACAGTAGCGTTACGTAGTGGACAGCTGCAATTGTAGATGTGGTCTTGTTGTCAATGTCGTTCCCATCGTCTCAATGTCATTTTCAAGCAAGACACCCCACCGTCGAGGATACGCTTGAGAAATTGAGTTTTGCCAGTAATTTTTCGTCCTCGTCGCCGTTTGTCAGAACCCGGCGCTTGACAGGAAATAAAAGCACATTTGATATACAGGAAAAGATATTACATTTGAAACATATATATGTGCGACCTATCCTTTCTTCTACACTTGGCTATTATCGATTTGGAGCGAATAAAAATCAACGGAATTTTCATTTGCGTCATTGCAACCAGTAATAATTAAGTGTCTATTATTTCGCTTGATTATAATAACAAGTTCGCTTGTTTTTGCATCTCTATAATAACACTTGTGTCATGTATGATTTGTATCCATTGTGTACGGATGATGTATGTATGAAAATATTTTAAACTTTCTGTGTATGATCATGCCTTCGGTAATCGATTTGCGCATTATGCATTTATATAAATAGGCTGGCATAACCGAGTTGGTGACCGATTAACAAACCAAGTTCTACTAACATTTGTGAACGCTTGTTGCAAGACGCTACGAAGCTGCATCCATGGAAGCGCAAATCAAAGAAATTCAGCTACGATATTCCCTTGCAGGTTTCTAGGTATCTCTCTATTTGTGTGCTAGTCTCTGGATGGCAGGCAGGAATTGGTTAGATGAGTCAGAGACGAAAGTTTTGGGAAGTTTGCATCATGTATTCTTTGTTTGTAGCTAGTATCGTTGTTATTACTGCCGGTCGTAAGCAGTTTTCGTTTCAGCCCAAGCGATCTTAGATGAACTTTTAGCCTCTGCAGGCGAATATTCTGCTTATGTCGCAATGCTTTCAGTATTAGTAGTAGCTCTTCACAGTCAGCTACCAACGCGTGTATTACTGATGTATGATAAAAGGAAAGTTTGACCCCACTAACCATCACAGGCATCATCTATTGTCGTCTGTGTTTACCCCAACTTGGCATACCAGCAGTTCTCCGGATGATGTGACGGCGATACGCAGCAACGACAACTATAGCCGTCGATCACAGTGACGCCTTCTTACTACCGATGGGACGAGAGGGCAAAGCAAGATGTGCTGTTTGGAGTTCCCGAAAGTTGGTTTGCCGCCACGTCAGTTGATGCTACGGTCACTGCAGCGTGTTAAGCCGAAGAGAAGCAAAAAGGAACAAATAAAAAAAAGCTAAAGTCCATAAGATCAAGCTAGGCAGTGGCAACAGCAGTAGCTGTAGCATCAATATCAACACCAAGGAAAGTGGCACCCTAGCGTCCATCTGTCGGTCATTCCTTCGCCCTGTAGCTGTTGCCTCAGTGGGGGAAATCCAGTATATAGCCGCTTGGTCGTTTCTTCGCTCACTGACTATATCCATTGTCACCCTTGAGCGGAGCGCGCGAGGCGCCGCCGCCGCCGTCAGCGGTTATCGACAGCAAACCGTGTCAAAGCCAAACGGAGGCAACAGGCCTCACTGCTTTGGCCGTGTAGTCGGTCAGCTATAATATTCTGTGAGAATCCAGTTGAACTGCCAGTTCGCAGTTCGCACACCGCCAAACATGAGGCTCGTACGTTACATTCAATTTTATACCTTTCTGTGGTCAGAAATCATGACAAAACAGCTAACTATCCTAGCTAGAAATAGCAGAATTGGAGTGCTATATTGCAATGCCGAGAGGTTTGATTTGAACAGTACGGCGACAGCATACGTTTTCAATTCAATATGATACCTTAGTTAGTCGTGCCTGGTGGATAGCGGTCATCGCGCGCAAACTTACACTTGAGTAACAGCGACTAGTGCAGCAGAAAAACGTCTAACATCAAACAAACGCCACTGTGTTTGTAACGAATACAGTGCGGCAAATTTGTTTAATACCTAGTTGTTATTCTAGTAATTGGACTTCGATTAATAAGTGATACTGTGAACACTATATGGTAAACTTTCTAATTATGAAGAACTTGTAAAAGCAGATTATGTGACAGTATAGTTTTGCTAGTGATCGTATAGATATATTGCGTAAGTACATCACTATCTAATGCGTTCATTTTGTTTCGGCGGTAATTTTTCAGCTTTTATTAGCAGGGTGCGCAATCCAGATCTGGGGGGCGCCGACTACGGTAATGCCAGAAATCGGCAATACAACGGAATCGGCAGTACATGATACAACAACTTCCGTAATCACTAACAAAACTTCTGATGTGGACCAGAAAACCTTTCCGTTCAATAGCCAAGGTTTCATACTGCCCTACGGAGCGGTAAACAGCTGAAACTACTTAACGACTAACACATACGAGTTATCCGACATAACAAAAAACCTAAACCAAGCAACATTACTTATAATAAATCGAGCATCTATTTGTTAGTGAAGTTGATAATAGAGCAGAACATTACCTTTCAGCCTCACACTGTGTTCTCTCAGCTCTCAAGTAACTAAATCGCAATAAGAAAGTAGAGTACAACAATGGTGTCTCTCTTACTTTTTCTTAGGGCGGCTTCCTAGGAGGACAGAATCCGTTCGGCGACGCATTCGGCAGTAATCCGTATGGCTATTCTCTGTTCCAGACACCTCCCCAAAACAACCCGTATGGTAAGGATCGTTACTTTGTTTGATTCAGTGCATTGCCAAAATAGAATGAAACAGAAACAGAGCCTCATCTTTTCTCAAGGAGTCGAACCAAAAAAGATTTATTAGCTGACTATGCTTTATAGTAGCTAACGTGGGTATATTATGTTTCAGGCCGGTTTCCTGTAGATATTCTGAATCGGTACCCGAATGAGGGTCCGTTCCAACAGTACCCTGGCACTATTCAGTTTAATCCGGCTAGCCAAGGTAATTTTCCAGTAAGTCAGGCGACTGGACAGCCTGTACAACCTGCTGAAGTTCTAGGTCATCCCGAATCTACTATATCTATTGCTGGCACTCAAAGTGGCGCTCCAACTGGTGAAAATGGCCAGCCTTTGCAACCAGGACAAATTCCCCAAGGAAATCCGGGATATCTAGGACCGCCAAGAGTGCCTGGCCCAGGTAATGAAAATCAATTACATCCTGGCGTTTCTGGTATACCCGGTCTAATTCCACAAGATGCTCAGGGCCAATTGTCCCAGGGTGCACAGGGCCAGTTTCCTCAAGACGCAGAGGGTCAATTTCTCGAAGGAACACAGGGACACTTGCCCCAAGGTGTCCAAGGGCAGCTTTCCGCAAATGGGCAAAACCGATTCACTCAGAATCCACAGGGGCTTCAAACAGGGTATATTGGAAACCCCGGGTTCCCTCAGGTACCATCCCCTCAAAAACCTTTTGGTCAAGCATCCACCGACCATCCCGGAAACCCAATACATAAGCCCAATGCACCTACACCGCCCACCCTGTCGGGATCATCCGGATCAGACTCTACCAGCGGTCTAGAGGCTGTAGGAGGACAAGACTACCCTAGACCTCAAGAACAAGGAGTTACTGGCCAAAACCCCAATAGTCAGTTTCCTCCAAGCCAACTTTTGCCGAGTGGACAGAGCCTTCCAGGACAAGGACCGCAGGGCGATTTCACCAACCAAGGATTACACGGAGTATACAACGGACAAGCTTCGCTTCAGGGACAACCACAAGGTCAGTTCGGTGCCTCTGGAGAGCTCCAGCAAGGCTTTCTTCAAGATCCATACCTTTATCCTGTTCAATTTCAAAACTTGCAAGGACCTTATTTATCTGACTATTATGGGCCAGAAAGAATTCAAAGCCAGTTCCTCCATCAAGGACCGTACGGCCAATCTAACGGACCACTACCGTTTCCAGGACAAGGACATATTCCGGAACAATTCCGGGGACCTCAAAAGGGTCAAAGCTACCCCGGACAATTTTCGCAGGATTTCTATAACCAACAACCATACCCACAGAAATTCGTGCCACAACAGCAGTATCCACGAGGTTTCGTTCCGCAACAGCAAGGCTTTCCTCAAGGCCAAGGACCCCTGCAACAATTTCCTCAAGGTCAGGGATACTTGCAACAATTCCCTCAAGGTCAAGGATCCCAACCGCAGTTCTTGCAGGAACAAAAACCGCAGCAACAAGTTAATCCAGGCACTGGTCTTCAACCAAACCAGCAGCCACCGCGAAACCCCCATGGTCAGATTCCAAACCCTGGCACAGACCTGAATGGGCCTTTCCCACTACGTACAAATCAGGAGCACTCCCCGGGGCTTCCCAGTGGTTTCAGTGCTAGCCCAGTTCAGAGCCGTACCGCTGTGCCTGCCTCCCCCGGAACATTTACTAGCGGTGAGTAGGTTAACAGCTCTACATGCAGTCGATTGGTGTGCTGAGGAGCAGGTGTGCCACTTGTCGCGGTGTCTGTGTGTCTCTCTGTTTCTTATTACGCTTTTTTTTACTTTATATTATGACCTTATATTATGGGGGCTGGTTTCGGACGCCCCCGTTAACCCATTAGGGCCCTTTAAACAAAAACGACCGATTGTGTCCTCACTTGTGAACGACCCAGTGTACACATTGAACAACAACATATCCGTTTCATCGCCAGGACCACCGTCCCCTGAGGAAGTTACCTCAGCCGATCAACCTCTGCCGCAAGTCAACCAGGGGTGAGTCTAAGTCTCCTAGAAGCAGAGTCTCTGTTTGACGCGCTGGTTAAATATATGCACGCTTAACCTCACGCCGGTTTTTTCTATATATAACCTCTTCAGCCTCTGTTTTAGTCATTGAGATACATGATTAACTGCTGCGTGGCTCTGTTCAGCGCGACCTACGTTTTCTGTTTTAAATGCTTGTGAGTTGCCAATATAGAAATATCGCTTTCAGTCCATCGAAGCCCTGTATCACTGAAACCGCCTATTTGTTCCGCACGCCTCCGACCGTTTGCAACATGTTCTACTACGACTGAGTGAATCTAGGAACACCAAAGATCTATTTCAAACTTACATCCCTGATGTTTAGAAAGAACAATGTTTTCAAAGCTTATCCTCACTACATTGAAAATAGACTTCTATTTCTTTATTCTAGTATTCCTTCCTTTTTTTCTCCAGATTTATAGAACAGCTGATCTGAATTCCAGGTCCGAGCTGCGATCTGAAGCTAGAGCGATGCATATCTCAGAGCTTAAACGGGCCGAGAAAAATGATGTCCCTTCGTAGAACGCTCCTCAAGCCGCGTTTAGGAGACCAGAAGCCTAAATCTGGCGAACGAGAAGAAATAGAAACATTTGCCGAGATGCTTGACGAAACAAAATTGCCATGACAACATTTACTGCGATAGACCCCAGAGACGCGGTAATGGAGCCTCCACCAATACCAACATTCAAAGCTAATCTACACATAGAAATGACTACAGAACTGAAATCAAATTTACAAAAATCATATGATGAAGATAATGGTTGTGGTGATGCAGAAAGCTGAACATAAACGATTATGAGATGATCATTATGATGGACTACGTAATATTGCCGATTTTAATAAATTAGAAGCAAATACCATGTAAAATTCCAAAGATCTTATACAGAAATTTTTTCACAGATATTAGTGTTGAGGTTAATTAGATTACAAGGCGCGCTTGAAGACATCTATAGCTCTTTTATTTAATCCTATACATAAGACAATTTTTATAAGGAATTACTGGAACATGAGCCAGAGGAAAACAAAGGCTGTCCCTTGTGGAGCAATGACAATTATCATACTTTATTAATATAACTTGTTGGGCAAATAACTTGTATCTGTAAAGCGAATAAAAAATATAATGCATAACAAACAACCTGTTTATGGCAAGTAAAATATGGTGCGGATATAACATAACGTAGGATTCGATAAAAGGCTTTTTATAAATGGCAGCATGTGTAGGGTAGTGACGCATGAGAACTAATGAAGAGAATCATTTTAGAAACCATTTACGATCATATTAACAAATAACAATAACACGATTCACTTAGTGTTAACACAATTACCAAGTAAATAAAGTTAGTTACGTATTGGATTTCCCTACAGCCGGTTCTAAATGAGCCTATCGTAGCTAGCGGACCCGAGCAGCGTTATTTCATTGATTCGATACCTCGCAAGTTCTCGTTGAGCCCAAATTTTTTGACAGCCCTCTTAAAATACACCAAGGTCGACGACCACAATAGCATCGTTTTGTTGGTGAACAAAACGACATTAGCGGCGTACAAAAACACGGGTTACCATCGGGTATCTCTAATTAGTCGTTATTTAGGACAGAGGGAGATTTAGATTCTCAATTTATAGCCCATTTGTGGTTTACTCAGGGTTAAGCTCGTCAATTCCGTAATCCAAAACAATTTAATTCACATCTTACAAATAAACTGTAATATTAATTTATGACTAAATATAAGTATGTGGCAATATCAGATTCGTTTGTGAAGCGCTCGTTTATGTCAGGTAACAACAAAACTAAGTCAGTTCGCTTCATTGAAAAAACTCCCTCAGCATCGCCACGGCGTTCTGGGGCACTCCAACCCAAGCCAGCTTGCAAAACGAGGCATTGTTAAGGGCCATGTAAACTTAAGTTGTAAATTAACAAGTATTGAATGTGAATGGGCCAAAAAATGCTATTCTCCGCTAGAGTTTCGTTGGATATATAGCTCTTTGAATCACTGGTAGTAAAACTTTTCACCATAACAATTATGTAACTTAAATAATGGACTATCAGTGATAGAAAAATACTAGTTAGCCTAAATCGCAGGGAAAAATAACTAATCTTACAGTAATATTTTTCAAATAATTAGGAAATTCTAAATAAGAACTAGTCTGTATTTTAAGTTATGTCTTCGCATTTGTCTGTAAATTCCACGTGGTGTAGCTTATAACTTATTAAGCTATACCAAGTGGAATTTCGAATATAACCTTTATATATATTTGTCTATATATATAAATATATAGAATTAATCTGTAATATATCCGAAGCAACCGAAGATGTATGAGGAAAGCAAGCTCTGCGTTCATAAACGCAGTCATATTGCTTGCCACTCAACAGTTATAAACCAAAGGACTTACGAACGAAAACAGCTCAGGCGTAAAACCATATGTTTTGTAATTTGAAAAAAATCGAGTACTGAATTGCGTAAAAACTAAATAATCCACAATTCGCGTTCATTCTAAAATGTAATCTAATCGCTCATGCTCCTCGCAAGAGCCTTTGTATCTTGAGAGCACGTTTTTTTCACGTGTCCTCGCAAATTTTCATCGCTTATCTGATGCCTTGCCTGACGCGCTTTCCGTAGTCTGACTCATGTACTCGTACGGAGAATCTGGCTTATGCAGATTAAAGTTCCGAAGCTTAGTTGTCACTAACTTTCGTGACTAACCCATTGTGTTACCTTACCTCACCAAGGAAAACAGAAACCTCGAACGCAAAGGTATCACCTGACACTCAATAAGGAACTGTCTGCACAACAGGTTCCAATGGAGAAAAACTCCGTAATGTGAACTAGCATGTTCCAGTCGTACATCTTTCTATCAAACTGGACAATTCTCAGTCAGGAAGCCGAAATGCACTGATGTTCACGAGCAATCTCTCGAGGTTATATACTGAAAATGCTATATTTTGAATTTGACAGCTGGAGTTAATTATCAATCTGCACCCTACGACCGTGAAGACATCGAGCCACTAAGCAACATAAATAATAATTGCTCCTCATTAGCAAGACAGCTCCAAACTACTTCCGTAACTGTAGACTCACACTGGACACTGAACATCTGGTGAATTATCCAAGCGACATATAAACGCGTACAAATATGATTTCAAGGCAAAAATCTAAATCGCAAAGGTTGGGATTAGGAGTTTAACAGCTGAGCACATGTACATAAATGACAGGTGGTCATTCAATTGTAAAACAAAAAAGCTGACAAACATTTATTTGGTGAATTAGTCAACATGTGACTCGTTCGTCTATATAGGGTAGACTATTGATGATTCTCTTTTCAAACGTATTATGATAATTTCTTCTGATTAATGTGATGAAAATATATATGATAATATTGAAAATATAAAATCTGGAAATGTGAATAAGTGAAACAAGCGACCTACGAGAGTCGATGTGTTTACACAAAGGCCCGTATATTCAGTTAATGTCTATTATACATGCAGAAAAAATGCATATTTCATTACCTTTGAACACGGTGGATTGATTTACTTTTTTTTTTATTATAATATAAAACATGTCAAAATTACATACAGCATACAAGTCAACTGAGGTTACAATTTATTGTTTTCATAATAATCATTACTATTTTTCAGCCTTATTGTGTGAAACAGAATGTGCCCAATATGTACAACCGCTGGCTACATTCATTTGTCTTGTCGCCTATTTAGACATATTTCCCGTTTTCGATATACATGCTGTTGCCCATTTCCTACACTGTTGATTCTGATAGTAGTCGCATTCCAATAGCAGCCAACAATTTTAATTCGTTTTAAATTTTTTTTCGGCCTGGTCACCTGAGAATGACGCGGTCGCGTCTATAGCTTCGTCCGCAGGCCGCTTTTTCTTGATCAAACTCGAACTAATAACATTCACTTTGGTCTCCTAAAAAGCAATGGATAAGGAAACCGGAAGTTACTTTTCGCGCACTCCGTTGATATGCTGTATATTTGCACGCACTGGACAAGTGACAACGTTAGTTCGTAAAAACAGAATGGCCCAACATCATGCACACATTCTAATGCACTCCGACGTGCTAAATAGCTGTTCCAGTGAAACTGTGTGTGTGTGTGTTTTTACGTTTGGTTTTTAGTATTACAAGCGGAAATACGCACGCGTAAGGTTTCGGAACGAGACAATGCGTTGCGTTCTACGAAGAAGTTATAATCTAGTTACAAGGATCTCGCATATCATTATCACATGCTCTACCGGTGAGAAATTTATTTCAATTCACGAGTAAATTCTTTTCCTGTATTTGGTTACTTACTTTTTTAACAGGACTGGCTTCGGGAAGGCGGTTCATCATTTCACCGATAATTTTTTCCTTGTCACTCTGTACATTATCTTTCTGCATTTCTTTAGCATCCTCCATTTTAGCCACTATCTCGGGCAAAAGTTGTTGGATCTCATCGATCTCTTGCTCAGCGCGCTTTATTACGTCTTCCTCACATGAGCTGAGCTTCCCCTTTGTTTTCTCATCATCAATACTTTTTTTCAAATTTGATACTTTGAGCTCCAGTATCTGTGGGGTATAAAAGCACGTTAATAAAAATCCAAAACTGGATCAGATATACTCTACCATTGAAATTGTGAGGTGTCATGCGGTTAAAATCGCGATGATTCTAGCTATACAGGTTCCTTGCACTCAGAATTAAGATCATAAGTGTTTACATTTAAGTCTGGGATAATAATTTTAAATTATGGAGAACTATTTATCTGTTTACATTAAGCATATACCAAAAGACCCGGTAAAGCCGCTACTATGCATGAAACCATAACCTAGATCCTATTATGCGTTTCATAAAACATATCGGAATAGTATTGCCTACCTGAAGGGCATCACCAAAATACGCGGCACTTTGTTCATACTTATTAACGAAAGAGTAGGTTAGTCCAAGCTGATAATTGGTTTCGGCCAGAGCTCGCGCATCCCGCGGTAACATTTCCTGTTGAATTCGCAAGCAACCCTCAAAATCGTCAATGGCTCGATCATAGGTATCGGATTCTAAATTAATTTCTCCTAAGGACAGCAAGCAGTCAGCAGCCTTAAGATATAACTGAGGATCTTTCTCGGCATCCCTGTAAAAGTCAAATGCAACACATGTGCATTATTTAAAGAATATCTCGAGACGATTCGTGAATCAGCTTGAACCTTAGAACTACCGAAAGAAAGGCATAACCTTAATTTATTATCATCATTTTAGATCACTAAATGTTACGTTGTACAGAGATATGCCTCGCGCGTGAGGCATGTATCAGCCATAATTGAATAAATCGCTACGCATATAAGAAACCTTGGTCAAAAAGAGGACTTATATGGGCTTTAAAGATTATACGTTCTTATGCACGAACCATGCAAAATTTTACCGATAGCCATTTTCAGAAAAAAACAAAGATGAACTTCCGTTTGAACGTTCATGAGTACACTAGTAATTCATGGTACCTACAATGAGATTTACTGAAGCCAACGTTTAAATAATCTCTCATATCGTTTCTTACTATTTTAAAACGTATTCTCAATAATCAGTTCTACCTTTTATAAATTTTCTTTGCAAGTTCAAGAACTTCAAAGGCGATCTGTAGGTTACTGATATCCTCATCATCATCGGGCGCTTCTTGGACTTCCTTATCAGCAGTGTTTGGATCGCTCTCTTCGAGGTCCTCCTCTTCCTGCCCTTCTTCTTTAATCACCTGTCCAGCAGCATCATCATTGTTGGTCTTTCCTTCTCCACTCGAGCCATCCCTCTCCTGGAAACAGCAAAAGAGTAATACAACTGATGGTATATAAAAAAGCTAACATTTTCGACTCGGCAGTCCCCATTAAAAGCCGTTAATAAACTATAATAGCCGGTGAGGGTTGCATTTCTGCTGTTTTTTTTGCAAGCAAGACAAACCTTTTCCTCCTTTTTGTCTTCGGTTTCCTTTTCTTCTTCCTCCTCGCCCTCATTTTCGTCACTTGAGTCATCTTCGGTAGCTTCTTGATTTCCCATGTCATTGAGTGCATCGGATTCTTTACGGTGTAACTCAAGAAGGGCTTTCCCGTAATAGTGTAATGCTTCGGCACACTGGGACGCATCGTCACCGAATTTCGCTGCCAGGAGTTCGCATGCTCTCTGCAGTGATTCAACAGCCATAGCATAATCCTGCACAAGCATATTTCGCTTCCCCTGAATTAAACACAGCTTTGCTTCCACTGCCGGATCTGTTGACCTGTAAAACAAAAAAAAAATATAAAAACAAGTTACGTTGAATTTAGATTTCGGCTGCTGAAGCGACACATCGTCTTATCTTCTGCCTCCATTTTATTCACGAATGTCATTTGCTCCTAGAGAGGCTTGTTAACTACTGATAACATAATAACAACCTGTTAGAGCGTACTATTCCTACCCAAAAATAAGCTTCTGTGGCATAAATACGTTTCGAAGTAACAAATAAATGTATTTGAAATGAACATACTCTTTAGTTTCGGTCTTGCTTTCGCTTGAAGTTTCCGTTTTATCTTCCGTTTTTTTCTCTGGGGCAGTTTCATCAACCGGCGACTTGCTAAAACAATACCAAGAAGTTACGTGTTAGAATATACAAATATAGCTTACGAGGCCATAAGATCGTATAGCATGCGCAAAATACTATCGACACTCACGACTATCCAGAAACAGACCACAACCATAATTAAAAATATATATATAATAAAGAAAGAAAATCAAAAAAACAGAATTTACTCTGTTCTTGGTGTTGTTGTAGCACAATCCTTGGCGTCATCCGTAGCTGGAGATTCTGCCGTTGGTTCTTTACCGTCTTTCTCAGCGGGGTCGGAGTCTTTTGCCTGTTTTTTAGACTTATTGTCACTAATCTCATGATTATCGCCGGCCTCGGCTCTGTAATAGTAAATAGAACATTTGAAATACACTACCACACGACCCTAAAGAGCCGGAAACTTTACCGCCAGCTGACCCATTTTTAGAAATATGCTTAATCTAACATTCAGCCTAATATGAAACAGGTGTATAAGGTTTCAAAGTTAACCAAAAAACAAAACCTGTAGAACAGTGACATCTCACACACGCGAAATGCGATTGCGCTAGAATGAATTAAGTCTTTATCGCCAAGATAATTTTTTTTTCGAAACCGTATCTAAACTGAACGTCTAAGTAGCACCTTCAAAAACCTTCTATAATTGCCAAAGGAGAGTATTCACTGATACATTTTAGCAATAATAGTCAATTTCAAAGATTACACACGTGAAAAAGCACTCGCTAATTACATGCGTTTTGATGATATTAAAAAGATGGTGGCAAGCATCGCATTTGTTTTTGAAACTAGACAGATAATCACATTGTAGATGTTTAACATAGCAGTGTCATCTATGCCGACCAGAAATCAGATCAATGAATGAGTAAGCCTACATCCAATGTTTAATTGGTCCATTCCTTAGAGTAAAACAATATTGTATGTCAAGTAGAACGAATCAGTTATATACTACTGTATCTCTTTTAATCGTCCATTGCATTGAATCTTTAAGCGAAATGATTTTGACAGGTCAAATGTAGCAATTCTCGACACCCTTCACTTTTTATGTGATGAACACTTTATATAAATATAATCATGAAGGAAAACGACGAGTGCATATTTCGCTTAGGCTAACTGATTTTCTGGATGGCACTGAGCCCGTGATTAAGATTTTGTTTACAAGTACGCTTATAGCAATGGTCTTGAAGCTCACATGGTAACCAAATCCCTCGAAACCAGAAATAATTTCCAATGGTAATTCTGTATTGTTCTCTATATATACAGTTTATGAATGTTTTAGGCACACTAGAACGGAAAGCTCATTGATATAGTTGCAAGGTGCGTACCAAAATAAGTCTACCCATTAGAGCCACGACACTTACCTCCTAAATAATTATACAAAGTAAGATACCTAAGTTGGAACAAACCGCGTCGTGCTGTTTGTCGTAGCGAGCATGTGTTTAGCCGATGTTCTATTCATGACAGAAAATGGTCAGCAATTTTCGAATCTCTTCGCCCTGGACGAACCCCCCGAAAATTAAAAACTATTTTTTGACTCGAACTCGACAGTCTACATTGTCAATTTATATGCGGCTTCTGAAAAAACAAGTAGGATTTCTATAAAAAAAAACCTCTATGTTTCGAGTTTTACACCAGGTATCGCCGTTAGCCGAACCGAAGTCTGTCTATATGCCAGGGTTCGAACCTTGACTACAACGTGTCTTTACGTTACCCACTAAGCTATCACGAGGACCTGGAACAATGGAACCTAAAGAGTTTCAAGAATTTTTGATATGTTTGTTTTTTTTTTAATAGGGAAAATTAAAGCTAATTTGGAAAAAAATATCGCCTTCACATGAGCTCCAACAGTTAGCCTTTTTAAGCCTTTAAGCTCAATTTTGCACCTTATGTGTATCTTGGCCGTCTAGAACCTATGCATGGTTGGGACATTTAGCCTTCTGTTGGCCCAAAATTTAATTCCACTAGAATATGTTATTTCTAGCGTATTTGAGCGACACTTTAGCGAGCTGACACCTACCAATATTGTTTTATGTATGGTAATGATTAAACAATGATTAAAGAAGGAATATTTTGAGCATAATTAGTAAATGGTTTACGTCCCGAATTGAAACTGTAATTGCGGTGAGTGGTACTTATATTGAACACACATGACCATAAAAAAAGACATTTTTAGCACATGCAATAATAACTGTTGAATTATAAAATTGTTGAAATACCAGACACAGTTTTAGGAACAAAGTCTGAGAAAGAGTTCTAATTTGAGTATCATACTCTGATAGAAGCTCTACACAGCATAGATTTCTATGTATATTACTAAATTGCTGTATCCAAATTATTTTTATTGATATTCTTAGTTTGTATAACATTAAGCGTCTACATAAAAAAAAAAATGCAACTAAGTTTCAAAGTCACAATTCGATAACCCCCATTTACTCCGACCAAATATCGTCCTTCGGCGCCGGTTTTGCGCTGAATGAGATAGCAGCGACAACCTCATCCTTAAAACCGCAGATGACAAAATTCTTTGATTTGAAGTTGAGATTTACCCAGAACTTAAACAAGGTCCAATAGTATGCCGATTGTAGGCAAAAAGGTTATCTTTAAACAAGGAATTTCGAAAGAACTAAAACCAATGCCGCAGTCTCACTCACCCGGTGACGGATTTCTGATTTTCGGACGCTTCAGTGTTTTGGACATCTTTTTTCTCACCCTCTTTTTCCTGCACGACAACGTTGGCCTCGGCCGCAGTCATTTTGTGCGACGATATATGACAACTGCAACGACTTGACAGATTATTAGAGAAGGGTGCGAAACGTCTTTTTGAAAAAGAGCGGTGTGTAGGCCACCCGATTTGACGCAAACCGGCTCGAGACGAGGATTGTCCCTTTGGCGCTCAAATTGCACTTAATTTCGCCGGCCGTCCTGGACACATTCAGGGTAGGCAAGGTTCTTTCTTGTGTCATCCTGCTCAGAACGAACTAAAATTTGTTATCGTGTACCGATGACAACCTTAAATAACGGAAAAGCGGTTTATTTGAATGGCACTCGAGAAAAGCGCGCCATCCTGTCCAATAAGCAAGGCAGTTTTCTGTGTGTGTTCTTAATGTATGTCGTCTTCTTTTTTCGCTGTATTAAAAGCGAATCCGAAACAGTGACCTAACAGTGATGATTTCTTGGGTGGGAGGCACGGAACATGCCACTTGGTCGGCCATTCGTGAAGAGCTAACCATTGTAAACAAACGAATCCGTCCTCTCCATTAAACGTCGGAGTCATGCTTTGTCGCGTGTTGCCGTTAATACTGTTCCTATGCGAGTGACCATAAGTGTTCTTCTCATTCGGAATTTTACGAAAGTGGCATTTCTCTATTCGAGTCCGGCACGTAGAAACAAGCCTATGAGAACTAGAGCGGTTGAGACGGAAGCTTCAGCTGTTACAGAAACTACCAGTAACTATGTCCGCCTTTAAACCTGTAGAAGCCGAACCATTGCCAAAAAAGTCCTCATTTCTTACTCAGGAGCAACTCAATTGGAAACAATATGCGCTTCCGGTAACCGTCAAGGATTCAGGTCTTATCCAGCACGTAGATATTGCCCCTGAAGAACCATTCCAATTCGCTATCTCTGCATCGAATCGCATCCAGATATATAACCCGGCTAGTAGAGATGTAACTTGTCGACTAACGAAATTTAAGGTGGGTTCATTATCAGTGTTAACTTCTAGCGAATAATATTAATCGAAGATCTAAATTCATAATACACACTTGAAACAAGATTAAAATTAAATAGGAAATTGGAAGTTCTACTGAAATATTTCGCACCAGTTATATGATCGTTGACGAAATACTAATACAAATATTAAGAAAAGAGATGACAGAAAACGGTTGGAAGATGGAAACGATTCAAACAAATTTTCTGACAGATCAGTGAACAACTTAGAAACATACACAAAGGGACATCCCTTCTGTGCGAAGCAGCAAATATTGCACGATAGCCAGCTACGCAAGTGTGCTTTCAAAGGTGATCTTTTTTTTCAAATTATTTAATTTTTTTAATAAGGCCCATATCGCTTTCCACCTATGACGTATCCACAACTGACTGCGCGGTCATAAGCAGATTTTAACGACTGTTATCTTTATAATTGTTACGATACTAATGATGGGCTACTATTAATTACTGTTTGCATATGTCAATACAACATGCAACATTCCATTGTTGTATCGTTGCTGTTCTATGGGATAGTTAAACGCGTTTGGAGCAACTTTTCGGGGGGATAATAAATTGCTTGCTGCTGGTAGTGATGAAGGCACAGTCAAGCTATTCGACATTAAGACAAAAGCACTTCTTCGTACGTTTGTGGGCCACAAACGCCCCACGCGGAGGGTGGCGTTTGCCAATCAAGGTCGGCACATTGTCAGCTTCTCGGATGATACCACGGTCGGAATATGGGACATTCCCCAACAAACCCAGGTGCGTGCACCTATCTTATGACAAACAATGACATTATAAAAAAGATGCCGTACCTTCATTATGTGAAATAAAGTTTAAAGCTATGTTCCGCCATATTAGTTCTATTTTTTTTTTACTGCTTTAAAAGTGTCTCTGTAGTACGTTTTGTTCAAATTGGTCTTACGTCTACCTGAACACATAATGAACGAAGGTAGCAGTTCATGATTTCATTCGTCATCTGTTACAGATTTTATCGATGAAGCATCATAAAGACTACGTTCGTTGTGGCAAAATAGCTCCCGGTTCAACGAATCTACTCTTAACTGCCAGCTATGATCACAGCGCTGCTCTTGTGGACGTCCGAACCGGCGAACCGGCCCTACTTATCGACCACGGAGCGCCTATCGATGCCGTTGAAATGTTACCCTCAGGAAGCATATTCTTCACAGCTGGAGGCAATCTTATTAAAGTGTGGGATGCTGCTTCTGGAAGAAAGCTAACCCAGCTTTGTCAGCACCATAAAGCCATTACTTGCCTCAGTCAGTATTAGAAAATGAAATGTTTTGTACTTATTTTCATTCGCGTTTTACTTCTCAATTTAACCTCAACCTCGATAAAATGAAGAGGTCAAACAGAGTGTATTCTAGTTCATGGTTAAAAAATGTTTTCACATAATGCTTTCAAGTACCAGTTTATGATTAATTATGGCATTAGATTACTTCCTTATCCTATCTTTCGCAATTATTCCACGCGCATCAGAAACTCTGCAGTTCTCGTCAGTTATGAATAGTATATAATAATAATAGTCTCTTTTCAAGTGTGAAAATATCAAAGGAATATAAGAGTCTGTTCCATTTTCAGGTGTGTCATCGTCTGGAGATAAATTATTGAGTGGGTCACTTGACCGTCACGTGAAAATTTATGACATACAAAACTACCAGATTGTTCACTCAGTTTCATATCCATCACCGATTCTCTGCATGGCTATGGCGCAAGATGCGTCAGTATTTGTTGTGGGCTCCGAAACAGGTTTGGTGACGATACACCGGCGGAAAGACGTTCGAACTTCGAATAGTGAAACAAGACCGGAAAACGATTTAAAAAATGTCCGGAAAGCGATATTTGTACCCCATAGCGATGATATTGTCCTAGACACAAAACATTTTACACAGGCAAGCAAACTACAAAATCAGCTAAGGCGATTCGAGTTTACGACGGCGCTGAAGACTGCATTCGCACAAGCAACACAATGCAATCGGCCGGAAGTTTTCGTAGCCACCTGCGATGAGATTGCACGGAGGCGTATGCTTGACCAGTCTCTAGAAAAGCTCGCCGAAAAACATCAGAATGCCATTCTAGATTTTATTTGTAAATACGTCACACTACCTAGATATGAAAATGTAAGTTTAAACACCAAATGACCAAAATGAATGGGTTTCGGAGGTATTTGATATATATATATATATAATTTTGTTGCTTAGTGTGCTTTGGTTTATTTTTTTATTCATTAAGTGTTTTCTCGTCGCTATCTCAAAATAGCACTCCTAAAGAATCTTCTACTGTTTATGACATTAATTTAAGTAAAAATATACACAACAATCAGCTTCCAAAGGCAGCTGCTTACTAAATAAAAGCCGTAAAAATATTGTTTGGCCTCGTACCTAGCATTTCACATGAGCATAATGAGCATTAGAATATTTGGTAGGGCCAATACTAATCGATTTTTTATTTGTTTGATTTCGACTATTTCAGGTTCTTCTCGACTTGATTGAAGTAATGATTCGGGTCCTCCAGAAAAGACGTGAATGGGACGATGTTGTTTGGTTAAAGCTGGAAGAGTTGACGCATCAAATTGATCGATTACATTCAATACAGGACGAGTGCCAGAAGCTAATCGCCATGATCGAGACGATTAATACAAAGAATAGAGAAAGTGTCATAGTTCAACCGATGCCACTTGATTCAGTATAGTCGACTGTCTAAGTTACTAGGAAAGAGTGTGCATTGATATAAGAATGACGCTTATTGTATAAATTGAGAGACCTTTTTTGGTTTTGAATATCCTGTGAATATAGTACTTCGTAGTCGAACAGGTGATGAAATGGTAACCGCAGATGATGGTTCATGGATAATTGAAAAGAACTGTGCTCAGTAAGCACCGGCATTGTAAAAAAAAAAACAATAAATTGGTGATTAGTTGCGGCCACGTCAAGAAAAATTAAATAAACTAAACAACATAGAACAAGGTGCGACATATTATTTCGTGTAATCCGTTGCAAGCATACTAGAGAGCTTAGCAGATGCCTAGAGGCAAATAGAGCAAAGAAATTGTTCGAATATTTAAACCTCTTGAGTGAAATATTCTTAGAACAACGTGTATTGTCTCCGTCCTCTGACATTACATTTCAATAACCTTTTAAGCTACGTTAGTTCGAGTAAAAGTCCAAGTGTGCATGATGGTAATAACATGTTTGTAACACTGGTAACGGTTTTTTGCTGGCATCAGCGTTTTTTGCCAGTCTCTGGTACCTGTCGTGCCTTTTCTTCTAGAATATCCAACGCAACTACAATTAGTTTAAGCAGTCACAAGTAAATCAAAAGTTCGGCGTAGTGCGAATACACATTTAATACGTTAGCTTTTCTCTTTCATTTACAATAGGACACATACAAACTAACGTAAGGTAGTTAAAACGTCTATGCGGAAATAAGAAAGGTAGGCGTTCAAAGATTGCTTTGTTGTAAATACAGATTACAAGTTGTGTCAATGAGTAAAGTAAGAATTGTTGCTTAATTCGAAAAACTAGTTTTTCTCTGCATCATAAGGAATCTTAGCTAGCTGAAAGATACCAAAACTGGATATTATCTTCAGTCATTAACAAATTAAGCATAATATAATATTTGAATAGGAATCTTTAATTACGTATCCTCGAGTTAAAGATATTTCTTAAGTATATAAACAAACTTCACTAGAAATCTGTGCACAATATTTAATCACCACTAACAGTTAGAATAATTAAAAATACTATTATGAGGTATTGTGCAATAATGTAGTCTTCGGCTGTGAATACATAAGTAAAACAAGATGAAATTCAGCCGAATAGTAGGTATGGATTTTAGTATATACGCCGTGTTTGCATCTCTGAACTCTTTACTAAATTTTTTAATAAAGGAACCTAACGAACGATCCTAAAAATTGATTGGTTGCTGAAATAATGCGCTTGCCAAATACTTGAGTTTACATTTTTTTCCTTTGATTTCTGATGTTTTAGTTGTCGAAAAATACAGCTGAAAAAAGACGCGCTCTAATAAATGCAAACTGTTTACTTTGGAAGTAAAGGTTGATTATAGATACAGTAAAATTATAATTACAGTTTAAAATATATTTGAAATTGCGCATTGTCAGAATCTCCACTCTCCGGTGCTCTTTATCCCAAAATTGAACCCCTAAATGCAATTAAAGGAATAAAATAGATGTATTGCTTTGCCAGCCTGTAAATTAGTTTCTGCTGTGAAGCCGTACGTGTAATTCGTTTTTGAAACATAGAACCTAAATTCATTAACATGTCTCTATAAAAGAGTTTCCCCAACCTCCGTGCGTCTGCAGACTGGTCCGACGACAAATCTTAACACATTCAAATGTTTGTATGTGTTTAGCAGACACCTGTCACGTAGAGCTTTTTCTTTTTCGTCTGCTGATTGTGCGGCTGCAGCACCATCGGATAAAAAAGGAGATGTGTCAGATGGGGCAACAAACAAGCAATAGACAGTGTAAGCGAATCGACTGGATCTAACGGCTGCAGAATTAAGTGGATGTGTTCGAAGGTGAATTCCTGCTAGCCACTACATACAATGGCACACGACTCGGTTAACTTCGACCCTAACCTCTAACCATCACTGGCTCCAGTGACGGCCCCCACCGATTACCAACTGGGTAAATCGTTTACTAGTGCTGTGGCCTCTCCTAATGCTCCAATAATCCATTCTACGACGTCTGGTTGTGTTTGTTCTCTTCACTACGGCTGCTGTTGCCGTTGCCGCTCCAACCATCACTAGCACTGCGCTCTCCGTTCTGCTGTGCCTACAGCCCTGTCACTGTGCTGTTGCTACCAGTAATTGCTGCTGTTTAGCCGTTGAGATGGCTAGTTGACAACAGCTGTGTCGTGTTGTCGCTATTGTTTCGGACAAATATCGTATACTGCTGTTTCTGTTGCTGCCAGGCCTGCCAACGCTGAATATATAGTGACTGAATGAGTGACGATCGTGCCGATCGTTTTCCTGGCAGTGCATCATTGTTCGTTAATGGAATACAGCTAACTTGGCCAGCTCAATGCCATATTGTCCATTTCGTGCTGGTGCTCATTTGCGGTTAATGTATTACATTGCAGCAGTTGCGGTACAGTTCCGTACAGTGATTGTTGTCAGTGCAGATTGACCATTGCCATCCGTGTCGTTAACGCCGTCAAGCGTGTTAGCATTTTGTCCGTACGACATTAGCAGCAGCTGTGCGATCTACTGCTGCTGCTGAGACTGCAGCTAAAACTGGTCCTTAACAACGAATAACAATCTCCCTAAAACAACGAAAGATTCATCTGCCATCGACCACATACAACGGTGGCAGCAGAAGAAGAAGCAGTAGCATTGGCATCATCGTCATCATCACCAGCATCGTTTGCCGTGTGACTGTGAGCCCTGTTACTATTGGTGCCGCCTGTTTGATTCAGTGCTGATCGCTGTGCTGACTGCAGTGGCAAAAATTCGAAGCAGTAGTTGTTGGTCATCGTGTCAGCCGCCACCTGCCTTGTGCTGCTAGTAGCAGCATCGCAATGTTGTCGTGGGTAGCAAAAGCCTTCTCAAAGTGAAGCGGCGGGCCCTGTCCGTTCCAGAACATAGTCTTTCCTTATATTGAGGGCTGAGGTAACCGTGCGTAACACGTCGCTACCCAGTTTCAAAAACAGTAATAGAAAAAATAAGGAAGACCGCAAGTGGCTAAATCTGTGGTATTTGCAAAGAGTTTTGTTTTGTGTGATGGTAGCCACAGCCGTTCGTGACAAACCAAATAAAAACGCAAACAGTTAGAGGATCGATAACGTGTTTCTGCGTGTGACGTCGTTGTCGTCGTCGTCAGCAGTGAGTTTCCGTTAGTGTCAGTTGCACAAGGTACTGTCTTGAATATCCCTTTATAATATGTAAAGCTGTTTACACATCTAGCAGGCATGAGACAATGTGTAAGTACAACTTGGGTTGAGATAAGAACTCAGAGCTCTGCTGGGCCGATAGCACGTACCAGTAGGTTCTATGTGGTCGATATATACAGAAGCCCTTCCATCTGGCCTTTATTAGTAGCAACCAGCAGCAATGCTGCTCCTTGCCCCCTTCGAATGTCACTGCTGCCAGGTACGCTTTTAGGCCTCATTTAATGGCAAGCATCGCAAGCTGACGCCTAGTGACCGTGCCTGCGGTAACGATGGCGTCAACCACCACTTTTGCCATTTATTGTAATTTAGGTATCAGTATCCGCTGCCGCCTATTCTGTTGCTACACTATTCACAAAGCAGTTGCATAACTAGTAGTCGTAGGTGGTCTATTGGTTGCCACTGCGTCTCCGGAAGCAGCGATGGACGGAGCGTAAACAGCCCGAGTGACGTGAAGTCACTGTAACCACGACCACCAAATCCTTCTATGTATGTGCACATATATATAATAACGGATGTAACGCCAAACATCAATGTATGTCATATGTAAGGTGCCCTCGTCGGATCCTCAAAAGCATATGACCAAAGTGAGTGACTAAATGGCCGGTCGATTTACTCGCAGGCCAACAAGTAAAACAAATGTCACCAGTCCCAATTTAGTAATACCTCGCAAAAAACAATAACCACTCTACTTTGTTTATTGTTTGTTCGGTCGGTTTCTGTCGTTCGTTTGACGAAATACGTCGAGAGAAGGAAAGACACATGTGCGCGACTGGACTGTCAGTGTCTCGTGACAAATTCTATCTATGCGTAAGCTTTATGGCGCTTGTGGTGCTGACATTATTCTCGAGATCACCTGAAGTTACTACAGCAGACTATTGACTAAGCGACAATGAGATTTTCTGCTTATCTTGTTTGGCTTCTGGCGGTGTTTTTCTCGCATCTGTTTGCTCTGGCTTTTTAGCTGTTTCGAACACTGCTGCCGGCACAGAACGTGTGGTGCTTATAAGTAGGCAATGTCTGAGTAAAGGATTTGCTTAAATGGGGTAAGATCGTTAGAGTTCCCTCGAAGAGAAATTCTCCTTGGAGAGAGGAACAAACGGGAGAGTTAAGTTTGCTGGTGCTGTAGTTTTCCAAACAAATAGCAGAAGAAACAAGACCGCTAAGTGGCGATACTAGAGGATCTCAAATTATAGGACGAACTCAGATGTAAACAATAACTAAATGTTAAGGAAAAAATTTCAAAACCGTTAAATTTGAATCCCCCATCGTAGAAAAATAAGAAAGGTAATAAACATCTAAACGTCTTGCTCTAGAATGTGTCGTTCATTGTTTGATTCTCTTTTTTTCGTATGAAGAAAATTGACGTATGTATAACACGTAGCGTAGAGAAAAGAATATGCTAATGTCTTCTTTGCTGGATGGACAGTAGCTTATCAGATGTGCTATTAGATGATATTTTATCTCATAGTTAGTTGTATAAACCGCTCACATTGTTTAAGCTGAAGAATCCTAATGTTTTAATAGTCGACAGAGGTATAGAAACTGAACAACCAAAAAGATTGAAAACAATATTCCACTCCATATATTTAACAGGGTTACAACAGATGCAAGCGTCCACGAGGGAAAGCGAACCGACACATTATGCCACTGATATTAACGACAAGGAACTTCAGCTCTGTCTCTTTATATAGCAAAGGAATACTTATATACGAAGCTTGTGGTTTGCGGGGGTAATAATTATCCTATTGATATTCGCCAGCGTTATGTTTGCAAGGCCATCGGTTTCGCTAGCTGTCGCTATCTCCGTTGCCGCTACTGCTTCCAACAAGAGCAGCGACAGCCTGTCCGTGCGTGAACTAACTTTTAGGTATAGCTAAATGAAGGTGAGTTGGAAGTGGCCAAAACATTTGACGTAGATATCGAAGCAGTTACAATGATCCAAAGGCAACACGTATACCATTATTGAGTATAAAAATTAAATATGTAATTTTTTATGCTAGTGATGCCTATCGATTTTTCTGAGAGGATTCCTTGTGTGCGACCTCTTTTATCGAGATGCCGTAGCTAGTTACCTGGATAAGCATCGAGGATCATTAGATGAATCATACGACAGTGCTTCCAGTAGATTTCCAATGTCCACTTTCTTTCTAGACAGTGCAATTCGTAAACTATGTGCCTTTGTTCATTCCCTCAATTGGGGGCCTCTGGAAAAAAATCAGCAAAAAACGTAGTCATCCATCTCCTCCTAAATGACGCGACATTTGCTCAGTTAAGATTAAGATTATAGCATAGTTAAATATACAGTAGCAAAACAAAAAGACTCAAGAACGCCTCCCGACTTTATGTTAAAAATGCCACGAGAGTTTGATGAAACGATGAACTCCACGAACCGGCTTTAAATTTTTTTTTATTCGTAGCGGCTTAGTTATCAACGCTTACGCCACTGATTCTAGTTAGTAGAGTTCACTAAACTCTTACTAAAAGTGGATTCTTGCATCTGGAGGCGTCGTGGGCACGTTGAATATTGCTGTAAAAATGAATTTTTCTGAACTGAGACTTCAATTGAACTCTCAGTTCTATTCTACGTACTTCTTTTTGAAACGAGAACCGTCGAATTCAGATGGTTAAGATTAGAAATATCTCCTTGCTAGTAGAATCTAAACCATAGATTGTGTGACAGAAAAAACAGCGCTGACTTAGACGGCTCATTCTCCCGTAGACTTTTGTTTCATTGATGATCTCCTATGATACTCTAGTCTTATTCATCGTCCTTGTCCAGAGCCATATGTATGTGTGTGTATGTGAGTCAACTTCGAGCTGTAGGACGGCTCATACCGGCCGGGCAGCTACATCAATCAAACCAATTACTGTGTTACTACATGAAAATATAGCTTAAATCTGTCAGACTTTCCAACAGGGCGAAAAAACTCTTAGCAGAAATAATATGGCAACTAGTTATAACCTTCCGTTGTATTTAGCTCAAACGGTCTCCTAGTAAATGCGATCCTATCACATTACATATTTCTGGCCAATCCTCGGGCATATGCTCATACAGTTTAATCATATTTGGCTAGGAAGTATTTTGTTAATCTTTGCGCTTTTTTTACATCCTTTATGTATTAAAATGTATGTTTTTACTGGGTTAGATTATGTCTTTTAAAAATGGCTTACCTCATAAAACGAGTTTCCTAGGCATATCAATTTAGGAGGCGTTGCTGTCTGAACAACACCAAAGATCGAAGAAATGGTTGACTTTTTGAGAAGCACATTTGTAATCCAAGCGCTCCAAGTAAACTACTCAATAAATAACAAAAGTTGCATACTTGTTGTTCTTCGATTGAAAGAAACCCAGATAAATACAAAATTTGTTTGAAGTAATGGTTAATTGTTTATTAACGGAGGTGAAAAAATAAATACATAATTATTCTTCAATAATTTTGGATATCAATTTATTCGAGTTTTTGAACTAATATAAGAACTAATATATATATAAAGTATATTTAATATAAAGTAAATACGTGTAGTCAAAATGCCTATATGTCAGCCAGGAAATATCCCAGGACATACATGTTACTTCCGGATACGCTGCTATCGGCACTGTGCAGTAAGCTCACTATGTGCAGTGAAACAGCCCGTTATGCCGATTGGCTCTTAATCGAAATACCTCATCGTCCATATGAAATGCTTCATCCCTATATGAAAATATTTTTAACCAGCTTCCACTGGTTAATTCTAGCATAAGGTAACCGAAAAAAAAAAGCAACATATTTTGGCTTGTTAGGAAGAAATATACTTATTTCACGAGTTTTTTTTTGCATCATTTCTGGTGACGTCCTAACAAGGTAAGAAATCTTACATAGTTTAGAAGTGTCTGATTGATGGACCACCTCTTCAAATTCACACTATAAGCTAGTTCACTAGATAGTGATGCAAACATCAAAAATGCATAAGAAAGCATATGAAAGTGCCATATATAACTGCCATCGGCCGCATTAAAATGGCAAAAAAACCTGTGGCCAAATGAAAGCAGCGTTCTTTTAGAGCTACTCAGAGGTTTAAAAGGCACAAAGATAGCAACGTTCGAGAAAGGGAGGTTTAAAAGGTTGTTACCCGCATAGCGATTTTAGATCAATAACCTTTGTAAAACGTAGACGCTCAGCCGGTGCTAGATTTCTTGCTCATTGAAAGGTACAAGCGCGCTGCTATTTCTGATGACATTGCAGCACTTTTTTGATATGGATACCATCAAAAGTAACACTTAACCAAATACGAAATTTAGTAAATTTACTAAATTTTTAATACTATCATTACTACTAAATAATGTCACTGTAACTTTATCAAATAAGTTACGTGCGAGTAAATATTTGCTGCATAAATTAGTTTTCTCTATATATGCGCTGTATATGTTTATTACTTATTATAGTATTATGTCGATTAAAATTAATCCCATCATTAGAACAGAGTAATCTTTCTGCCAAGATGTACGCTAACTCCGAAATCAGCGACCAGACAAACTCGTATTATGTTTGTCTATCCTAGCATGTGTCAGCTTGAACTCATGAATGATTCTATGCTGAAAAGCAACGCGAATATATTAACGCGAGAAAAATACGCGCATGCATAGCCGTTATCAGCAATACCGATTATTCTAATATAGATTAGAAATGGACAGTACTCATCCAGTGCTGGTGTTTTAGGCTGTTGCATTTTATCAAAAAGTCGTATACCTAATGGCTAAATGTTTCAACAAAAGCAAATCGTTCTGTATCCATGTGGTCCACCATGTAGTCATTGTAAATTAGAGCCTCTACATGTTAAGATGGAGTCACGTCTATTTAAGTGAGTATAACGTTATTACTTAAAGTTAGTTAAAACGTTCATTATGCGCTTGGTTTCAGGTATCTGATTAATATATTCGTTGTAAAATATATACGTATATTAAGTATTTGAAGCCAAGAAGAGTCAAAGGGAGATCAGTATAATCGACATACTATTTTTTAGAAAATTATGCCAATTAGCTAATCATTGTTAAGTATTAGTTAACGCGTGCTTCTTTTGTCTAGGCTAATACAATATTAGAGAATCACGAATTTACCAGTCCCCGTCAACATTTCTATATAGTTGTTGAATTTACTGCGCTGAAAAATAACTATTATTATCGAATAGAATTAAGTAAATTGTTATCGGTTTAGAACAGATTATAACTAGACTAACTAGAGTGTTAAATGCCAAAAATGGTGAAGAACATAACTGTTAGCAACCGACAGCAAGCAATGGTTTTGCCGCAGTAAAATTAAAATAATATATAAATTTTACATACAAATTTTGCGTGTTTACATAATGCAGTGCCTGAAAGAAACCATACAAGTAATACATTGTACAGAATACATAATACAGAAATAAACCAATACAAAGGAAACAACATAAGAAACTTAAATTTGTTCGTAATCAACGATTACGTATCTGGGCTAATATTTGGCGCCATTTCTGTGTTCGTACGTATCAAGAAGATACTTTCAGGTCTATCGCTTCAACGACTTACATTTCGGTCGCATTCGCGTTTGCTGGAAATATTGTGAATATCTAGAATATAGCACAACAACATTCCATCATGTCGGAATCGGGACCTTACAACTATTCCTACATCTTTAAGTATATCATTATTGGTGACATGGGAGTCGGCAAGAGTTGTCTGCTGCATCAATTCACTGAGAAGAAATTTATGAGCGACTGCCCACACACAATCGGCGTTGAATTTGGTATAATGCGCTAGAGCTTATATATTCCATTCCGTGTAGTTTTTTCAAGTTTCATATTATTATTATTGTTGGCAAAGCTACTGTTAACATAAAAAGAACAAATTTGTTATATAGTACTTAATGTCCCTTTTTACTTATATTAATTCCTGAATGTACCGTTCAAATAAGTTCTTTACTCAATGACTGCTGTTTACAACTGATCATTTCCTCTAAACGCTGCATATTTACATCTTAAATCTGCGCCCATTCACTCATCCAAGTTTAAAAAAATGGCAATAAATGATACAATCTCTCCATAGAATCTACTACTTTGGCTGGGTGTTGTCAATAGGTACCCGTATCATTGAGGTCGCTGGGCAAAAGATCAAGCTGCAGATATGGGACACTGCAGGACAGGAACGATTCCGTGCTGTAACTCGTTCTTACTACCGGGGCGCGGCCGGTGCCCTGATGGTGTATGATGTGACACGTCGCAACACCTACAACCATCTCAGCAGCTGGCTTACGGATGCAAGGTACATGCTGTACTATGAAACTGTATTGTAGTCTATTATATATTAAAAGCAGGACATTCTTCTATCTCCTAAGGACCCTAGCCCTTATAGATTGTGTTGGCTTCGCGTTTTCAAGAACTATCAGACGAAACGATTGATATAGACTGAGCTGGCTTAGTTTTATTAATAGCAAGACTCGTCTACAGTCCTCTGTGCAGCGCTTTTTTTTATCCGTCTCGTGTATAATACTTTTTGTATAGAAAGCAGGCAGGATAACCTCTTTCGCATTGTGTGTATTCTTTAGCTTTTCTCTATACTTTTCACTGCCTTTGTTATTAGTTATTTCTTGTATTTAAGTATTTAATTCGTTATTCATACGTATTTTTTTTCGTTCCGCTTCACTCGCTTTTGTGCGCTTTTCTCCCTCAGGAATCTAACGAATCCGAACACGGTGATTTTCCTGATTGGCAACAAAAGCGATTTAGAGGCGCAACGTCAAGTGACCTACGAGGAGGCGAAGCAGTTTGCCGAAGAGAATGGGCTAATGTTCCTCGAGTGTTCGGCTAAAACGGGTGAGCGCGTTGAAGACGCTTTTCTCGATACGGCGCGCAAGATCTACCAGAATATTCAGGATGGCAACCTCGACCTCAACGCAGCGGAGTCCGGTGTGCAGCACAAGCCACCATCGAATAACACAATTCTTGGCAATATCCAGGACAAAAAGGATTCATGCAATTGTTGAAATGAGTATAGCCCCATTGCTCCTAAACACAAGACATCTTCTGCTCAACCACAGCGTCCACGAAGTCCAGCTGTCAAATGGGCAAGTATCTATCGCCCTTGTTATGCTTGTATCACTCGTTGATGAAATGTCGGGAAACGAGAAAAAATTATTGGTTCTTATTATTACGATTGCTGCTGTCATTATTAAAAATTACAGGAGCAGATACACTCAAGATGATTCCCAAGGCGGCTCATTGGCCCGTCACAACTACTAATTTTTTTGTCCCAGAGAAACTTAATTGTTTATTATACGGATATAACACTCCGATTATACATGATAACATCCATCATAACAATAGGTATTAAATGTCAAAGAGTAATAATTGGGTGTGTGAGATAGGATGAGAATTGTAAGAAACATAGGAACACGATAAAACGTTGAAACAGATGACCGGAAACCAAGAAACACAGAAGACACGGTCGAACAAGGTAAATAAATATGATGGTAAAAGGTTGAAAAACGATCAGTTGGCTGGTCAATTGACAGATGACTCGTGTCGTTGCAACCCATAAAGCCTGTGGCAGATTCTTTCTAACTCTGACATTACGACTACATTACTTCGTGTTTTAGGTTTTAAGTGGTGTTCAGTTGGTGGCAACCGGGTACTAGACACGGCCTGTAAATCTATACTATAATTATCAGACTGAATTTTGCAAGAAGAATGGATGTATGTTTTATCTCTTTGCATAAATATAGTTACTTGAGCAATTAGACATAGAATTGCATACGTTCACAGACAAAGAAATCGCATTAATTAACCGTGGGCAAATGCCACAACAAGCGCATATCCCTGTTCAACTAAAATGAAAATCAGAACCTTACGAGCAACTCTCAGCATCACTGAAACAGACTAGGTCTCGTCGAGGTGCCGTTGTTGATACTGCGTAAGAATGTTGTGCATTGATGTCAAGTACTTTTGCCAGCTTACTTGAAGCCAACGAATTGTGAATGCAGCAAGATTCCTTTGTCGGAATACAGCTGCTCGCGTTTTGCTACAAGGAGAACGAGGTGACAGCGAATCACGTTCTTCCGCCATAACCCAAGTCACGAGTAAAACATGACTGTTATACTAAGATTGTTATACTATGGCCGACAAACTCTACCGCGCGCAAGTTATTAAAACGCAACTCTAATAAATGTAGCATACGGGGGTCGGACGGTTACCGTGAGGTGGAAAGAACAAGTGATCAGAGCCTTCCCTCGATATTTCAAGTCCTTCACTCTGTCCCCCGGCTGTATAGATCCCCCTCTTGTAAAAAACAATGTGTAATTAATATTAAAAAATCACAAAAATTACCACAAAAGAGATATGATACGTGAAGATAGGACAGAGAAAATATAATTACACATTCCTAAATAAATACACACATCTATGAGGTGGTCTGGAAATGACAATGGTTATGCCCGTCCAGCGGGCGTATATAGTCGTATTATCAACAGTCTGTTGAATAGGAAGCTTAGTACGGTGATCAGAAAGAAGACAAGGCGGTATAGGGCGAAAATAACAGATAATGTGATTAAAATGTATACGAGCATATATACACAAAAATGGAATTGCGCCATACAAAATGCAACGATAATGAATCGAACAGCTGTTAACTGTATGTGGCTTGTTTTCGCTACTGGTGATAAACAAAACAAACGGAAAAAAAATATTTTATGGCGAATTAACAAAACCATTGGAGGACGGTAAAGGAACTACAAGGAAATGTATGTCTCTTATTCTAATTCCATATTTCATCCTTTTTCAATCTAGAAGTAAGCTTGAGCAAATACAACTTTATGATTTGAGGAAACGTACATTTATAACAGAGAGAGGCATTCGAGTAGACGTCGCCAATAGCTTGAAGTCCTCCGATAATTTAGAGCCATCCAAAGGACAACGAAGTGATAAAAATATCATAATGGTAGAAATGTTTATTCCGCGCTTGTCCTCCATGGTTCATCGTAAAGCTTTTTAGCAGCTAATAATTATGGCGCGTCAAGGTTTTCGGTTATCTATAAATAAGCAAACAAATAAACATAGCATAAACTATTTGGCATACCAACTGCTAAAAGTAACCAAAACACACCGAATCTGCTCTGCTTGTGTTTTAATATATATGTCTATATATCTATAGGCGGACTACAGTCAAACTTGTTTGTGGACTGATTAGCAGTTGGTGCGTCGTATATATATATATATATATATATATATATATATATATATAATGCATTAAGCCTATAAAAATATTAATATATAAAAATATTGAAGTATTTGGGCTCCCCTTGAGCAATGTCAGCATACACACACATGAATACACAAATACAACAACACAACCGTAATTATTACTGCAAATATTGCGCTAAGTGAAATAATAATTATATTATGATGACACTCTATATCGAATATATATTTAGCAAGAAACAGGGCAAACTGCGATAAAAACAATGACATCATCATTTGTACTGTCCGTTGATCTAAAGATTAAAAAGTGGCAGTGCGACTGCATCGATACAACGATAGGAAACTTGAGACAAATAAACTGATGATGAGAAGACGCATTCATGGTGATGAGGTACAGAGATAAGATTATGAAGATAAAGCTAGACACAATGAATGGAAACAGGGCGGCTGAGGGTAGCGAGAGGAAGATATATATAAGAGAAGGTGAAAAACGTCAAAAGACGTTGAAAAATATATTGGACAGAACGTTCGAACTAGGTGACAAGACGCTAACGATCAAAATAGAAGTGAGTAGTTTATCGTCAAGACTTTTATTCTTAAAAAGCGAAAGTATCATTATTATTATTTTAGTTATTATAAAAATAAATCCTGCAATGCAGCTTCGGAAGTAATTGCAATGCGTTTGTAATTTTTTAGGTACATTAACGTCTTCGTTGTGATATTTTTGATGCTTACTTAGAGAAAGATCTCAAAGTACACCTTGTGCAACTTTGTGAAGTACTTAAGCTGAAAAAAATTGACTCTCCAAATTTCAAATAGAGCACTAACGTGTGACATCATAGTTATCCTTGTTTTGATCTATCGTAGAGTACAATATATCAAGTCTAATAAGCATATTTAGAGTTTATGATTTAGTATGTGAAAAATTCAGGACGAACTGTTGTGATTTTGCCATACTCTTTGCAAGGATTTTTTTTTGCCAGAGGAAGTCCTTGTGAAGTTGAGCGTAAAAACACGACACCAATATAGTGCGATGTTTTCCATGAATGGACTGGCACCTATTCGAGCAATAAAACTTTATTTAAAGTTTTACTGTTTAGTGTTACACCTCCCACAATTAACAACATTACAGAATTTAAACTAATTACTGTGCGGTTATTTACTATTTACCTATAATTACTTATGATTAGCTATTAGGACTTCACGAGCTAATATTTTAGCACTTTTGTAAAAATCAGATATTTACTTTCTACCATGTTTTAATGCAAAAAAAGAAACTAAGTATAAATTCACTCGCACACATAATCAAATTATTTGTTAGCATCGGGATAGCTCACACAGCTTAATATCTAACTGAAAATTTCAAACATTGCTAGTTAGAGCCCTGTGATGCATCGAGCGCTTAAGCAATGCATGTAAAGAAATTAACTATAAATCGAAGAACATGTGTTCTACTTCCCACTTTAATAATAATTAAGACCAGACCCAGAATATATATACTAACTATGCTAGCTTGTAACTAATATGGCTAGTGCCATGATGATGCAAGGCTTTGATGCATTACGGTACATAACTATTTAAAAAGCAGATATCCAAATGATATCGCTGTGCTTTTCAGCATTGATAAAGATGCAAACACTTTTACCGATAAATGCATTCTTTTTAATTGTTACAATGGTTGCAAATAAAAAAGAAATAGTTATTATAGAAGTGATGTTGTTGTGACATTCAGGTAGATCAGCAAGATCCGTGAAACTTTGCCCCATGTTAGCTCCGTATGGAAGCAAGTTTATTCATCAAACGTCTCAATCTCGTGCTGGAATATATAGTACAGTCAGCTCCTTTATTAAACTTAATGTGGCTATTTTCTCTCCTGCCTATATATACATATATATTTGTTTTTGCCCTAGTGCTCTTTACATGTTGAAGCGCAACGATAACAATAAAAACGTTGTTTTATCTTGTTCAATTTTCATAGACGTGCAATGGAATTACATCATGTAAACAATAACCATAATTATAAAAAGAAATACGAATTTACGATTACCGAATACAAAAGTAGGTAAATATTATCGATAAGATGGTTTGTAGAATACAGGGTGGGCCAAAAGTCACTAAATGTTGTCATTGATGTATTTTTTGCGTTTTAGACATTTACTCACGTTATAGCATGATAACAGAATATTATAGAGATATAGAAATGGCTTTAGAGTATCCCTGTTGTAAATCGTTGCATCGTTGAATCCGCTTTTATTATTGTATTTTTTATTGTGATAGTTTGCAGAATTCTCATTATTTTAACAGATGTGAGGATTCTCCACCCGTCAAAGGACTTCCCTCAAACTGTTACTGATTTAACTGTTAATGATTATTAGAACTTCCATGTATTTTTGAAAAGCTTTCAGAAGTCAATAAGAAGAACAATACGACAAATTAACGACTATTATACTTACTTAGGCGAATGGCTTGAATTCAAAGCATAATAGTAGCGTTAATACATTTTTTAAGCACGTGATAGTCGTGGACTATCATTGGGCCGTTTATATCGTTGAAAAGGAGTGCCCAGTCCCTTGTCACCGTAAGTATAATATGAGATCAACTTGTTACTGCTGAGTCAAACAAGGTGGGACTTTCCAACCGAAGAAAGTTTGTATAGGAATGGCGAGACTTATTTTTGTGGCATACGTAAAACTGGTTAAATACAGATAAAATTACTTGAAGTACGTAGGAACTTTATACCAAAAGGATACCGATTAAATCGAATGTGGCACAACCTTTTTGAACGCTTTTTTGAAAACGGTTTGCTTGATTATTCCTTAATGGAACTTAAAAGATTTAACTACCTCTGTTAGATTGCTAGAAGTCAAGCGGTAATAATAGTAATTAGTCTAATTTATAGAAAGCTAAAGAAAGACGGACTGGCCATCCACCAGAGGTAGTTTTTTTTTTTTTTTTTATTTCAGTGTTACAATTTAGTTCTTTACAGATACAGATTCGTGGAAGAACAAGACGTATGCACTAGAAGTTCTGTTCCACTGTATCGTGCAATTTAGCTATTGCTTTGACCTCAAATTAGTACACTTACATGCCCATGGCCCACTATTCATTTCAAAAGAACACTCTTTACCGACGGCAGAGATCTCTGAAGATATCTTTGTATTGCATAGAATCGCTATAGATACATAAATTTGCGTCATTATGGACAAATGCATACCAACGAATAGAAGCTCTATCACGTGCGGAAACATTACCAGTCATAAGTATCCAAGTGAACTGTAAGTCAAACAATTCAGGTACTTTCTTTGTCTACAGCATTTGCAAGTGCCGGCACAAATTAAGTAGATTTCAAAAATTAGGACAAGAAAAACAAAAGATTTCGACATCCTGAGTTGTTGTAATTCAACGAAATAGTTTTTCCATTCGTAGTGAGAAATAGCATCTATATAATTAATTAACCCTGTTTCTATTCTATGCACCTTCTATATTGGTTGAGTAAGTTTCTCTTAATTTGCACGACAAAGCAAACTCTCGAAAACGACAGGCAATGAACTCTTGCACTATCAGTTAAGTTTCCTAGTTTTCAATTCCTTCTGATTGTTCTTTTACCTCGACATCCACACCATTTGATTTAGTGGTGTTGCTCGCCGATAACAGCAATATAAATAACCTCTGCATATCCGTATATGAGTATATATAGGCAATTTATGTATAGTAAAATGTATGTCAGGGGACAGGGCAACAGAGTTAGATATTACGACGGCGAACCAGGGTGACAGTGGCTCGGGTCTTCATTTGCTTGTTCGAGGTGGCAACGCGTTGTCCTCGCTTGTTGTTTTTTCACTGATTGATCCATCGGACCGCCGGCTTGCAATGCATTGATTTGCGTCAGAATGTTCTGAAGCTTCTTGCGGATCTTTTTCTGGTCATCTACTGCACACTCAATTATCTGCAGCCATGTTAAAATGTCAATGTCAAAATAAAAAGGAACGTGTAAGTAAAAGTTATTTGGTATGGTGCTTGTTATGATTACTTTCAAAACAAATATATCACGTATAGCTTAATTAATCTTTAACTTATCGACTTTTCATTCATAGTTCAAGTGTTGTTTAGAAAGAAGTCATGCTTTCCTCAAATTGGTTAATATAGCACATAACCTAAAATCCAGCAAAGTCGTATTTGTACCTAAAATCTACACAGTCTGTATCAGTAGCAGCTGTACAACTTCAGTTTTTTTCTCTTCGGACCATGTGGGCGTTCTTCACTTACTTAACTACGGGCTTTAATGTATACTAGGCTTTTCACCTTGCTCTGAAATTTGTGATCTATCGGCCCAGTCGCTTCTGATAAGCACGCATTGAGGTACATTTCGCATAACTCCCTTGTGGTATCGTCATGAAAGCTGGTAAGTAGCTTGTCCACAACTTCGGTGACTACTCTGAGTGCTTCTACTTGTTGCTCGGTTCTAGGAGTCAGCAAGGTGACGTCGACAGTCGTGGCCCTCTTCAGAAGACCCGATCTTCGAAACAACAGGTCCTCTTGTTCGGACTCTGATAGCTGCAATAAGAAAGAAAAAGCGTACAAATGAACGCGTAAAAAACGATTAGATGTACAAGTACATACATTTACTGTAAGACTCATAAATTTGATAATTGCCCTTTATTCATCACATCAACATTAGGCCAATAACCTTAAACCTCAGCTGCGTATGTGTCACGCAGTAGGACTAAAATCAGTGAGAATGCTCGAAGTGCTGTTCTGTAATTTTGATTCTTTCAAAGATCGCCATAAAAATGTGTTCTTCAGTTTAGGTGATCTGAACGCACGTATATTAATAGGCCTAACTCAGAATGTTTTATTTTTTAGCGATCTGAGCTCAGTACAGGTTTTTAATTTGCACTGCACATAAAAAATAATGACAGACAAATGTTTTTCTAGTAATCGCTTGCATAATTTATTTTTTTCTGAATTATTTTTCTGTATATTTTAGTATACCATGCACTTCGCAAATACTGGCATGTTTCAGGCTGTGGATTGTTTTCGGCGTTGTTTTAAAGAACACTCTTCACATAGTTCTATAGGGGAAGCCGAAAGGTGCACAGCTATAAAACTGGATCTTTCGATGTCATTATGACCCACCGAGATTAGTCGGACCTTGTTCGGACTGGTTCTCCTACCTTGTTGTCCCACACATTGTTTCCATCCAATGTTCTCATTTCGATTCAAAAAAGTTTACGCCACTGAATCCTGCTGCAGTTCTATTATTATGCTCAAAGAACAAAAGGGACCATGACACATTCGCCCCATAAGCTGCGCTACACAGGGACTTTTTGTGATGAAAGTGGGCATTCTGCTAAGTATAAGCTTCATTGAAGAAAATTTGATCAAAAAAGCTAGCAGCACCTGCCTCGTGCCTCAGTAGGTAAGTAGTGGATAAACGATGCTTCTGATGGTCTTGGATCTTAAATTGTTAACTGTAACCGGTATGGATGGAAATGCAATTCTTATTTCAAAATGCGTTGCAACATGCTCCTCAATAGATCGAGTCATTGCACATGGGGTCGCATTCAGGTCGTCGGATTCGTATTGGACGTCAACAAGAAGCGTCATTTGTATTCTGTGCGATACTTACGAAGTGGCCACTGTACTCAACCACTCATTGCGATTGTAAGTTTTTATGAAAACCAGACATAGTTCCATTCTATAGCTTTTCATCATTGCATATAGCAAACATTGCTGAATTTATCGCTAGACAGTCTGTTATCCCTCGGTACACATAAAGAAAAGGGACAAAATCATAAATTGATTTTTGGGCCACACTTTACCAAAAGTAAAGAGGATTTTACTCTTCAACTGCTATGGGCAATGACTTTTCCATAGTTTAGCCACATTTGTACAAAAGGGTATTCGTTTTGTGCGAGTCATGCGACAAAATATTGTTTCTTTTTACAAAAGAGATTACAAAAGAAAAGAAAAAATGAAAAACAGGATTTTACCGATCTTTTTTTTCATTTTATGTTAACAGAACATACGCAATTCATCTTGAACACTGTCTATATTTTCAGATTTTTAAATCATTAGCTTAATTTGTCATCTGACATAGATAAAAAAAAAAAAAGCTATTCGTATCAACAGTACCATTATCACTCATGCACTTAGCTTTTTTAATGTACATATTCTCTTAAAATATTATAGGTTTTCAATAATAGTCAGAATTTCCGTGATTTGACAGCGGTTGGTAAACTAAACATTCACTTGCAGCCATAGTATTCGTATTTGGCCTTCTTGGCTAGTGGCTTCTCTTCTGTTTTGATAGAACATTTTTGGGTCATATTGTTCTGGTTAAAGTTAGTTACTCACGAAAGAGGGGAGGCTACTTCACGGTTCAACTAATTCAAACACTCTATGAGCAGATTTTACCTTATAGATTGAAAAGTCTATATGAGAACACAACCTTGTTACTAAGCCACGATACAGAATATTCTTACTCTCCGCATTCGTCGCAACTTACAAAAAAGGGAAAACAGTTGCACTTCGATGTTTAATTGTGTTTGAGCCATTGGAAAGCAATCATTTCCAGAAGTTGAAAAAAATGCAGCAAAATTTTATTTAGAACCGTTTCTAATAAGGGAATGATATATATGAACTCTATTAGCGATCATTAGCACATAATGGACTAGCTTTTTTTTTGGTTGACAACTTCTTACCAAGCGAAGCCATACGTATCGTTGTGGAATAGGTCAGCCATGCTTAGTTCGTTGGCTGACGCAAAGGTGTATTTATCCTATGGTATGTAATCATGAGAGCCAAATCAGTAGCTCCCACGTATCCTTGCTACGACTGAGCAATAGTAAGATTATCGCAAGCAATTTAACGATACCAGAAGCAACGCTGTCCTCTCCATCGTCATCATCAATAAACAACAATATACGTATTGCGTGCGAATAACCTATTTTGGGCTATACGATGAAAATGACAATATGTCTCGAAATGACTAAGCAATTATAATTGATATTTAAACTGCAGTCCAAACATTTCCACAGTAATTCGGCCCGGACTATACATAGGAACCATTGGTTATTTTAGTGTGAATCGGCTGATCGACTTTGCCTGTTATTATAACGGTGGACTGTAAAGGAATCAAGCCGGTACAATCGCTTTCCTGAATCACTGAATTTACAGCAGTGACCTAGAAAAATTTCCGACGAATTGTATGAGCAGCAATCGTAGAACGATCATCATTTTCTTTCTGATCCACTCATAATTTTTTGTGCAGCTATTAACATTGCAACCTTTTGTTTCAACGCCACATGTAGACTACATGACAAATACTTAAATATATAAGAACTAACCATTTGAAGCTCCGGCGAGTCAGAAAAATTTTGTAACACTTCAACTAATGTGTCTTTTTCAACTTCCAACGCCTGAACAGCTGACCTCATAATCTCCACACGCCTCTCTATTGAATCTAACAGTTCTACAAGTCTTCCCGAAGACATTTTGATTAATAGTGTTTAATATGCACTGTTACCGATCAAATAATAACAAATGTTTTGAATCGGAAATTGCGCATAACACGCAATTATCTCGCCAGAACAAGATCGAGCCAACTCTGTAAACGGCTTTCGAATGTTGACACCCGCGGGAGAGAGGTGCGGTCGGCTTAGAATTAGGTGGGAGAGGGTCGCTTCCGGGGGAACTAGCTGAATCCTGGGACTTGATTTTTTTTAGTAACTAATATTGTTCATTAATGCTTGCTATATCGTAGTGCGAAGAGTTAATCCAAAAACAGATAGGTGATCACCCAGTGACAGCATGAACATGTTTCGTGTATTTGAATACATCCAGATGTTTAGTCTAAAGCTCGGATTAGTAATACCGTTGAAAATCGGTGCCACCTACTACCACCTTCGCCCGCGTTACTGTCATAATGCTTTATTATTAATTATACTACTAGCGCTGCTATAACCATATTTAAACACTTCAATAACACTATTAGCCATTATGACTGTGGTTGGTGACTTAGCATGAAGTCATTTTTAACTATAGAATAAATAAAGGCAACTAATAATCGCTACAAGCGATACTGTCAATGCCAAATAATGGAGGGGTGGTTGCGCCAATATTCAAATTGCCCGCGTTATATCCTCCCACGAAATGAAAACAACTTCCTTCCATGTTTAGTCCCTAGTGACCGTATCACAATGGACGACCATGTCTTGATAGGTACCAATTTACCTATTTACTGAACAGCTTATCATTTCATGATCTTGGTGAGTTTTCCACGAACGTGTGCTTTACACTGACACCATCACCATCTGTCAAATATGTACGTACATAGCAGAAGGCGTTATGACATCGATTGTCAATATAGCATGTCCAAATGTATTCTGAGTGCGTTTACATGATGAGGCTCTGTAGCTAATGTTCGATACATATCGTAATGTCTGTTTGTTGTTCTGTGCTGTAGATTGAGAGTCGTCCACTTCTATGCAATCGCGGTCATATTAAGGTAATCATTAGACGCCAAATCCGTAATATATGCATGTGGTGCAACATTTAAAAGAACACTAATTGCGCAAGATTTAGAACGAATTGACCGTTCCCATTGGCCGCTATTTTTCGTAGTATTGTTCGAAGATTTGCTGAAGTTTCCGTTCCGCGCACCTAACACATCTGACTGTCAAGGGAACAACGGGATATTCGATTATTTCAATATAAGGCAAACAAACGAAAATATGAGCAGCTTGCATGTACCAGCGCTTGTGAGATAATGTCCTTGGTCCCTTCTTTCAGTGTTGACAGTTTCTTCACAGCTAGTAATAATTTGAAATGCAGTGTGCACGGGAAAAATAGTACAGGTATCCAAATTTTGTTTCTAAGTAACTTTATGCAGAACTTTTCTTTTCTTTCGCGTGGATTTATAAATTAGGTTGCTGGAAAGGTTCTATTTTCGAGATGGTGTTACAAGTTTGTTTTGAAAAAATTAAACTTATGATTGTAACTACATGAACTTGCGTGCACCTCGGTTCGCTGTGTTTGTATTTTATTTTCTTGCACACTCCCTATATTCAGCATTACCGGCAATTTCAGGACTGAGTCGAGAAAGCCATCCACCCTCAGTCTCGTCTACGAGTCGTCGAATGATCCACTGAGGGGGAGTAAAAGAAGACGATATTAACTAAAAACTATCAACCACTGGAGTCAGCTGTGCGCAGGCAAGAGGAATTGTTACTAAGGTCAGAATGACAACGTTCCTTGACGCCCCCTCGACGTCATCGACGTTCCCGATGCTTTCGAATCTCGTACCCGAAGACGAGCAAAATCGCGAGATTCGCGAAGCGTTTGATTCTGCAATGGCTGTATTGGCAGACAAGCCGAAGCTTTGCAACCCTTCAAAAGGATTATGTATAAAATTTCGCCGGTTTGACTCAGATCAGAAGGCTTTCATAAATCTCTGTCACACAGAGGAAATTCCTTCCCCCAAAGAGCTTTCCGAAGGGGAACTGGCCCGTATTCTTGAAAGTGATAATTTTACAGCGTATCGGGTTCCACTTAGTCTTGGACTTCCCCACGACGAGCAAGATAAGAGTGGTAAACCCAGTATGGCGTACGACGTTATTATCAACTCAAAGTTTTTTTGCAAGGTTGCAGAAAGCGAGCTGTTTCGAACGTTTGTGATTCTGTTAGCTGTTCAAGGTGTTGAAGACAAGTACAACATTCAACTGTCAAGAGAAAATTACGTTATTCTGCAGAATAAGAAATATTGGGGCACAATGCCCGAACATTATATTCAAAACAGAGGAACTGCAAAGCCAGGTCCGCTCATCGACGAAATCGAAACAATGCCACCACCGAATTCATCTTTAGCAAAGTATAGTTTGGCCTCTACGGCAGCTAACGTTGATCCTAGAGTGCGATTAAGTCGTGTACAAAAGCCCGGGAGAACTGCGGAGCATCTGGTAGCTGAGATAAAACTCGCTGATCTACATTCCGTAAAAGACATTTCGTTAGACCTGGCTAAGGATCGCATTCTACTTCAAAAGAGTGCTTCGGGTGAAGTCGAACTTGACCTGTATTTACCGTTGCAACTCAATGTGGAATCCGCCCGTGCACAATTTGATTATAAAACTCGAGCCCTAAGAATTGATGCACCAATCCTTTGTAATTAGCTAGAAAAACACAATGGATTATGTTGTGTTGATCAAAATGTGAACAAGACAAACTATGAATGAGCGAATAAATGTGTGTCAAAAGATTACTTATTATGTTTTCATTTTATTATATTGTAAATTTTGGGCAATATTGCTAAGTCTATATGCTTACAGCTTACTAAAAAGATCTCGAAGTATGTTTTTACAAGAATCACAGATTTGACATTTCATCATGGTATGAGATAATCAAAAAACGCCTAATATAATAGAAGATGGTATCCTAAGGCACTACATTACATAGACGATCTGAAATATATGCTCATAATTTTTTAAAAAAATCTGGATTTTGGCTTCAGGGACAATGGCAGGCGTCGAGCGGAGCTTCCACCTGGAAGCGGTGAAGGCGCAGGCGCGCAACCTGGCTCGGATGTCACCTGCGCCAGAGGAAAAGCTGCAGTACCTCCTCCGCCAATGCCCCGATCTTTCACAGAGCAACTTCACCGTCACCCGAAGGCACCAAGACTCTGTCATAGCTCTCGGAATCTATTTATTAGAATCAGGTCTTAATCACAAACAGCTTATTGTCGGATACCTGCTCAAGCTGCTGCACGGTTTACCGAAAGCGTCTTGGGCTGATGAAAGAACACTTTCGCCTGACGAACGCTTACCGCCTATTGAGCGTTTTTCGTTCTTATTGAATACACTACTCACCGATGTGATGATGCAGGACGAAAATCTTCAGGAGGAAATCCTCACTGCACAGATCGTGTTGCTACAGACACTTTTAAATATGGTCCGTGGGCTGCAAACGAGTGACTCGCAGGGTCCGGGAAAGCCGGGTCAGGGAAAGATAACCCTGTGTCGTGTTGTTGTACCACTTATTCTTGGTACTGGACGCGCGTTCGGCCGCTGTCATCCCGACGGCAAATCGATATTTCTGCTAATATTTCCGGCGCCAAAACCACCGAGCCCAATCCGAGTCAATTCACTGTTAAATACACTGCCGAAAAGCAAGCGTACATTTAACTCATTCCGACCGATCATTCCCCGATCGCTTTCGGAACTTACGTCAGACACAGCTAACTCTGTCGAATCTTATTCGATAGATGAGCCGCAGAGCTTCAATCTGGTTAGTATAGACTACGACCCGACAAGCTACTTCTTCAGAAAGATTGGTTCCTCTTATAGTCAGCTTCTACCACAGACAAATAAAACTCCGCGATTGGTGCCAATATCAACGTGTCAGACGCTGCTAATTTTGGCTAAGAAACTATTAAAGAATGATATCCTCTCATATATGGACGCACAAGCGGCGTTAGTCTATGAAGCGGGCGACCTTCGAGTGTTTCCCTATAAAAGCCTATCTGAAGTGGTTAATTTAGTGATGCTAGGGCTATTACAAGAATTGTTGTGTCGCAATCCGCGAGCCGGTGTTCCTGGTCAGTTCACAAAGGACGTTCAAGAGTTTGTTAAGGCCATTTTTCTCGCAGGTCAGACTGAACTTCAGAAGGTATGTAAACAAAACGAGTTCTTATCAGATGAATTAAAAGGTAAAGGGGGGTTTAATGTCGATGATTATAATAAAGAGATTCTAAATTTATTTAAATACGGACGCTTGACTTCTTTGAACGTGTATATTTGTTTGTGGACGGCTTGATAAATATGCGATCATCTGAACATAATTTGGCAAAACCTCGTAGCCAAATGGCCTCGCGTGCTATATCTGAAACCTTGTTTATAGTTCAGATTTAAAGGGCATGCTATGGGTTTCTACACATTTTCGTTTCCGCCAAAATATACATACCTATTTTTTTCTAGTGATTTACACTGAAGGAAGAATGAATCATCTCTGCGCCGTTTAACTAAATAGGAGTCGAAGGATGACGAATTCAACGCCGTCACTCTGGTGGTACAATCAAACGCAGCGTGCGTTGATCTACTTGTATGGGCAGAACTGGATGACATTGGAGCGGACAGTCTCTGCGGGCGGTTATCTGAGCGCATCTGTACACCTAGCGCACCACGTACTGTTGTGGCTCATTTGCCATTGCTGCTGGTTTGTCTTGAGGGGTTGGGTAAATTAGCTGAACGCTTCCCGAATTTAGTCGAAACTTCCGTATCTGCTCTCAGGGATTTCCTCATAACACCATCGCCAATACTTGAGAAACTTTACTGCGTCACTCAAGAGAGGTAAGAAGAGACAAGCAAGACAGCGTTCTTGGATATTTTTCATTTGGTGATAACGCCTATCACTTAATTTGCATATTTTTCCCTTTCATTGCATTTTAGTAACAGTAAGGTAAGCTTTTATTTGTTCATTTAGTGAAGTTGTTCTAATATTCATGATAATTTCATTGTTAGTACTTACTTATTTTACTTGTCTTTTTGCAGTACTGGTAAGAATCAGCAGGCTTCATCGGAGAAGAGCGGCACGGGAACCGTGCCAATGGTGTCTCCAGCTGTTAAAGCGGCCTACGAGCGGTTACGCGACACGGCTATCGAGAACATTTGCCGAGTGCTTCGCGTCGGTCTGCAGGAGGACGCCGAATGTGTGCAGGCTTTCCTGGCTTCGTTGTCGAACCGTCTCTACCAGGCTGAAAAGTTCCGACCGGGCGAGGCGGGTCTTGTGGCCCAAAACACGATTCTGACCTTGGGTCACGTAGCGGTTGCCTTGAAGGATACACCGAAGACGTCGAATTCGATCCTACAGTTCTTCCAGCAAAAGTTCAACCAGCCGGCATCATCGCTTGACACCCTGATAGTCGATCAGCTCGGTTGGATGGTTATTGCTAAGGTGGAGAAGCACGTGTTTGATGCCATCCTTAAAATGTTCAGTCTTGTCACTATGGAGTCCAGTTCTCAACAGTACAACGTCGGCACCAATGAAGACCACAAGCAAGGTTATAGGCACGTTTCACTAGCTGTTATCAACGCACTGGCGAATATCGCGGCGTCGTTGCAGGGCGAGGAGTCTATGAGCGAGCTGCTCTCTACTCTGTTGGAACTGTTTGTTCAACTGGGTCTGGAGGGTCGTCGCGTATGTGAGCGACAAAGCGCGCTCAAGGCCTCGAGCTCTGCTGGCAACCTGGGAGTGCTTATTCCTGTGATCGCGGTGCTGATTCGCCGTATGCCGCCCATTGTTAACCCCAAGCCGCGGCTTCATAAGCTGTTCTGGGATTTCTGGCACTATTGCGTTGTGATGGGTTTCACCTCAGAGTCAGGCCTCTGGCCATCCGAGTGGTTTGACGGGGTGCGTGAAATCGCATGTAAAAGCCCCCTCATCGTGAGCAAAGAACATCTCCGTTCATCATTACAGTACAATTCGGCTATCCGCTCCGACACAGTATCAGTAGGCGAGTTACAAGAGCTACGCAATCAAACGCTCAAGTTACTGAAAACCGATTTACCTTTTACAGTTGACATAAGTGCCACAGTGAATAAACTCAACTTTGCGCAGTGTACATATCTCATGGCAGTGTTACGACTCGAAACTCTACGTGCCCAAAATCTTTTGCAGGGTGACTGCCATCTGGACTATATGTTTCAATATCTTGAATTTCCCACAATTCAGAAGGACAAGTCAAGCTTGTGGCAGTGTATGATGGCAGTATCGGATAAAGTATTTCTAGCATTACTAGACGTTATGCTGGCTAAGCCAAAAAACAAAGAAAGGGACGATGAACTAGAGAGACATGCTACATTCCTGCTGGTCAAGTTTAACCATCCGCAAAAACAGATTCGTCGTATTGCCGATAAATACCTGGCGGCTCTCGTTGATAAATTCCCCCATTTGCTCTGGAGCGGAAAAGTGCTGTGGACTATGTTAAATATTTTACATGTACTTGCGAAAAGTCTTGAGTTAGATCCAAATCATGTAAGTGATCTTTCATAGCTGTATACATTATCTTTTCATCCGAAATTATGGAAAAACTTTAGTTTTGTTAGTTAACTTATTTTCGCCGAGGATCTATACCACATTACGTATCTGGTAGCGCTGAATGCCAAAGAGTGTAACCAAGATGTATTATAGATCTTTTATAAAACTTCATATCAAACTTACCAAACAATTCATACCATTGCCCTCGGTTACAGCTAAATCCAAGTCTTAAAGTTCCTGGAACCAAATACGTTCTTTCCCTAACGGACACATTGGAGGCCCGCGAAAGTATAGTACAGGACTTTGCTGCTCGCTGTCAGGGCATCATCCAGGAAGCCATGAAGTGGGCGCCGAAAGTGACTCGCTCACATCTTGAAGAGTACTTGTCCTGCTCTTCTGCTAAAGCCGTATTCACACAACATTCGGGCGTATCCTTAGCGCTAGAAAGCGTTCTACGATTTGCTGGACTTAACAACTATTCGGCCCCCCTGCCATCTACGACACTCGATAAATGGCCAAGTTGCGTTAAGAATAATAGCTCAGAATTTGTTTGCGCGATCGGGCTACGCTCACGCTTCGGAGGCGAGATCACTGGTCTATTGCAAGGTGCCGATGACTTCCACAGGGTTCGCAACGACTTAGCTAATCAGCTTCTCGCAAAGGTTTGTTATTCGATCAAAGAAGCTAGAAAACAGGTTGATCTAACAAGCAGTTTAGGTTTATATTAGACGCTATTATTGGACTATAGTATACCATCACGCACAATATATTACAGTTTTAGTGAACTTATATATCCAAAGTTAAGTTTTTGAGAAAAGAGTAATATTTTTATCTCTACGTCAGTTGAGCTACTGTTTAATAGTTTATAGACTAGTGTATCTGCCTTATCTTGCTCGCGCGATTTTATGGAATATTTGTTGGTCGTGGTATTCCTTTCCTGCAGCTTCGTCAAAGTTGGGAGACGAATAGCGCCGCGGTTCATATGGAATCGGTGTTCCGCATTACGGCATTACTGATCCACACAAAGGGCGTAGACCGTTCCTTGCTCCACGCACTTTGCTGGACCACCGTTGAGTTTTTCGCAGCGGATGCCATGCGAGCTACAGTTGCCTGTTGGCATTGGCTGTTAGCAGCTCGACCAGATCTCGAGCTTGTTTTCTTGCAGGAGATGAGTTCTGCATGGCTTCGTACCGTTGCGCTTCGGCTGGGCATCTTCTCTGTCGAACGCGAACAGCCCGATCCAACACGTCCTCAAGAAGGTGTGATACTTGAACCACGAACTCCGTTTGTAGAACCTCATGCAATATGGGTGATGTTCTTGTCTGAACGAATCGAGACGGCAAAATATAGCAGTTCAGACCAGGTGGAAATTTTGGCTGACCTTTTTCAAAGATCGCTGGCAGCGACGGTCGTGTCGATGTTAATGACCAAACTCGTTAAGGCTTTCCAGTACTAGATGACACTCTTCCCTGCCACAACGGCTAAACGGCCAAAGTCGTTAAAGTTTTCAAGTACCAGGTGGTTCTGGATATTAACGGCTCTCGTTGATAAATTCCCCCATTTGCTCTGGAGCGGAAAAGTGCTGTGGACTATGTTAAATATTTTACATGTACTTGCGAAAAGTCTTGAGTTAGATCCAAATCATGTAAGTGATCTTTCATAGCTGTATACATTATCTTTTCATCCGAAATTATGGAAAAACTTTAGTTTTGTTAGTTAACTTATTTTCGCCGAGGATCTATACCACATTACGTATCTGGTAGCGCTGAATGCCAAAGAGTGTAACCAAGATGTATTATAGATCTTTTATAAAACTTCATATCAAACTTACCAAACAATTCATACCATTGCCCTCGGTTACAGCTAAATCCAAGTCTTAAAGTTCCTGGAACCAAATACGTTCTTTCCCTAACGGACACATTGGAGGCCCGCGAAAGTATAGTACAGGACTTTGCTGCTCGCTGTCAGGGCATCATCCAGGAAGCCATGAAGTGGGCGCCGAAAGTGACTCGCTCACATCTTGAAGAGTACTTGTCCTGCTCTTCTGCTAAAGCCGTATTCACACAACATTCGGGCGTATCCTTAGCGCTAGAAAGCGTTCTACGATTTGCTGGACTTAACAACTATTCGGCCCCCCTGCCATCTACGACACTCGATAAATGGCCAAGTTGCGTTAAGAATAATAGCTCAGAATTTGTTTGCGCGATCGGGCTACGCTCACGCTTCGGAGGCGAGATCACTGGTCTATTGCAAGGTGCCGATGACTTCCACAGGGTTCGCAACGACTTAGCTAATCAGCTTCTCGCAAAGGTTTGTTATTCGATCAAAGAAGCTAGAAAACAGGTTGATCTAACAAGCAGTTTAGGTTTATATTAGACGCTATTATTGGACTATAGTATACCATCACGCACAATATATTACAGTTTTAGTGAACTTATATATCCAAAGTTAAGTTTTTGAGAAAAGAGTAATATTTTTATCTCTACGTCAGTTGAGCTACTGTTTAATAGTTTATAGACTAGTGTATCTGCCTTATCTTGCTCGCGCGATTTTATGGAATATTTGTTGGTCGTGGTATTCCTTTCCTGCAGCTTCGTCAAAGTTGGGAGACGAATAGCGCCGCGGTTCATATGGAATCGGTGTTCCGCATTACGGCATTACTGATCCACACAAAGGGCGTAGACCGTTCCTTGCTCCACGCACTTTGCTGGACCACCGTTGAGTTTTTCGCAGCGGATG